CCTTCCCATATTCTTTCTTTATCCGCATTTCCCCCCTTCCTCCATTGTGTAACGGCTTTCGATTACAATATTCGCAATACAAATGTTCACAGATAAGTGGAGTTCATCAGCAAATTCATCATTTTAATCCCAATTATATACAATGTTTTTTGTGCCGATGAGTGGCATAAATGTATCGATAACCTCGTAGATAACAGGATCTGCGATTCATGTAGCCGACATCACTGTGAATACATTAGCATGGTTAGCTACGTACGGTGCAAAAGAAATTCAACATATATACATTATAGAACGGGTGGAAAGTCTCTATGCCTGTGTTAACAGACTCGCCCCATTCGTCAATAACACTGCCTTAAAATGAAAATATATAATAGGTGACGTATCAGGCAATATCTCTTCCTCATAGCACGTAAAACATGGATGCTTATAGATGTTAAATGTTTACTGTAAACGTGATATGCGTAGGTAGATGCTGTGGAAATGTCTTATCACTGATCTACTTACTGTACTGCTTGCTATTCCATGATGGTGGTGTTGATGTTTGCGTAGTGTAGCATTGCAATGTTCCACTTCAGTAAAAAACTAAAATAAAACATTGTATTCAACTGAGATGCTGTACTTCCTCCTGCAACAGGAATATCGATTTTCCACTAACTGTGAGTGTCAAATCACATCAGATTTTACTTGTGACAAGACATTTATCGGTAACTCGGAATTGAATCTAAGTCGTGGGGTTTCTAGTATATTACTACTACTACACTTAGTCTTCTTAGACAACACTGTACAGTACTACTATTCCCATTGCAGAAAAACTCATTAATATTTTCCCCTTATCTTGAACTGCTTTTAATGTCAGGAGGTATAGGTGCAGCCCTGCAATTATAATACTCACAGCAGTGTTATAATGTATTTAAACCACTGCTGGAAGTAGGGGCTCAAGTAAAGGGAGCTCTACAGAGCACCTTCAGAGGGTGCTTTGGCCTACTCTTCCATACTGGAAGAGGTGGGAGTGCCCAGACTTTACCCCACCAACCTGCGTACATAGGCATGGAGGTATTTCAGATTTAAGAAACTTGCCACCATCGTTTCAAATGGCACAGTTACAGAACTAATGCACTGTAGCATAGTACAATGCGGTGAAATGAATTTTACAATCATTTCAAGCCCAGTATTGTGCTATTACACCACGACGACAATTATTACCTAGTCAGCATGCCAACGTTAGGTGAACGTTGGCATGTGGTTGGAACAATAGGCCCAATGTTGGCCCAATGTTCCGTGTTTGTTGGCTCAACGTTCCGTGTTTGTTGCGAACCCTTACATTTTAAACTACGTAAGTGGAAGAAAAAAAACACACATTTACCACTTAAGGGTGTCTTATACAACTGTCTACAGAAGACATAAAGGGCCTGTCTAACAGGTTAATGTGACAATTTATTTACTGTATAAAAACAAAGCATGGGCCAGCAGCCAAAGTCTATCGTGTTGTTTAGTGGTTAACAGCACTTGAAGGTGCTATTTACAACCTCGGCGTCGACTCTTAACATTTCAAACCAAGTGGAAAAAATACCATTTTGCACTCAAAGGTGTCTTAGACAACAACTGTGTTACAGGTGACAGAGAGGGTCTCGTCTAACAGGTTAATGTGACAATTCTTCTACAGTGCCACCGTAGAAGAAAAAAAACCCCCACAAACCTAAGCAAATGCCAGGACATCAAGTCGTCTCTGGCCTCGTTTAATGGTTAACAAAAACAGATCTTGGGCGGCTGGATGTCGTTACATGGGCAGGGTACACGAGAGAAGGGGATTTCCCCAGCTGATTTATGACGCAACCATTTTCCAGCTGAGAGCAACAGGGCTTTATGGCTTTATGGCTTCGATGGCAGCCAAGACTAGAGAATTCAGCCGTTTGTGTTTGAAATAAGGGACTCAATATCGAGGATTTTTGATTACCACGTATGTAGTAGGCGACCGATATTATTCATAGTAAAGGTTTTTTTTGGGAGGGTTAGATCGCCTAAGTAGAAATGTGTCGTCGTTAACACGCCACCACCCGACAACCAATTAGTAAGCTTTGTCACGTAAACAGAACGTAGCCAATTAGTTACTACTTCTGCCCACCAGTGTGTTGGAGAGTAAATCCACAACATTTTTACGAATTGAGAATTTCTGGCATAAAATCGCCCGATGATGCTGGGATGTAATTACCAGCGAAACGTCGTAAACACCAGGTGGGCTAAAGTCGTAACTAATTGGCACGTTTTGTTTACGTGATAAACCCTTACTAATTGGCTGTGTCCGGTGGTGGCGGATCAACGACACATTTATACTGACACGATCTAACCCAGAAAAAAACATGAATCGATCAATATATTGATCCTCGATTATTGATGATCCTATTATCCTCGATTGTTTTCTTCATAATGTTCGATTTTACTCCAATTGTCCGTTGAGGGACGGGAGAGAGAAACCACTAGAGATTGTGAAATTATGAACACTGATGACGCAGATTATGAGTTATTTTTTGCAGACCCAATGGCCACATCGGATAATAGGAGTCGCGTAATAGGATTCCTGATAAAGTAAGATGTCCTGTATTCTTAAATAACAGTTTACTGAATTAAACAATCCAGTAACATAAATTTATGCTGTACAGTAATTCTCAATAATAATGTACTCTGCAGTACTGTACATAAATACAAAATACTGTAGGCACAGTGATCGTATGAAACTATACTTTATATTAGATCAATAAGTAATACAGTTATACAGTGCTCCGAAAACACCATTTTTGGTGACAGAGCAAAATGGAGCTGAATGTAAAGTATGAGCTGAATATTGCACAGTAATCCTTTATACCAAAGGTGCAGATTTTTAGTCAGAAAATCAGCCTGAAGCACTCCTGATCATAACCCCTAGCACTATGCTAATTCTTGAAACCCTAAAATCAATTCTGACCCGAAACCCTATATACCTTAAACCGCTAATGATAACCGCTTAACTCCCAACACTCACATCTTCATCCTAAACCGCTGAACCATTACCCCCTCACTTCATAACAGTAAACCGGTGATAATGAAATATAAAAAGTAAAGGCCATACAGTACATTCAATCGTATCGATGTTATTTTAAACTACAGCTCATACTTTACAATTGTACTTTAATCATTATTACTTTATGGTCAACCAACTCTCATGGCCACCAACACAAGTGTGGGGAGGCCTTTAATCCGGGATTTGTATCAACAAACAGAAACAGCCCTAAAGGTTTATTACCTTGACTATCATAAAACAACGGTATATATATATTGCACATTCAGTCTAACATCTGAACACTACCCACTAGGTCAACTAGATTTTGGCCAAATTAGGTTAAAATGTGAAAATCTAAAATTTTCATTGGGCAAGGTGCTAAAGGGTGTCTGGACTATGAAATGGCACAGTTATATAACTACTGTACTGCCCTGTACAATCATTTCAATCAATCACGTCAATCTTGGGTGGATACAGCAATAAGTACTTCATCACAATCAGTATTCTGTTAGCACGATACCATTTGAGATATTGCTTTATTGTAATCAAGGAAAACTTGAAATTATTCACCAATAACACTGCCTTAAGATGAAAAAGTATATAACAGGCAACTTTTCGGTAAATTTCCTTTCTTCCTAGCACATACAGCAGTCTGAGAGATAAGGGGGCCTGATAAGACTGCACGATACACAATGGGGTCATGGTGTACACCATGGGGTATAGTTTGAGAGATAAGGGGGCCTGTGAAGACTGCACACACACAGTGGGGGCATGGTGGTGTACACCATGGGGTATCGTCCATAAATAAAGTTTTTGTGTTGGATCGCGTAAATATGAATGTGTCCTTAAACCCGCCACCACTCGATACAGCCAATAAGTAAGTTTTGCCACGTAAACAAAACATTACAATTCGTTCCTAGTACAGCACACCGGTGTGTTGGAGAGTAAACCCACAACATTTACAAATCGACTACATTGGAGAGTAAACCCACAACATTTATTGGCTTCTAGTGCAGTTTCCAACTGTTATCCATTCTCTCTGCCCTCTCTTGCATAACTAAAGGACCCATATAGAAACTTATCAGACCCTACGGCGAGTAGTGCAATCTCCAACTCCCAATCGACCATATCTCTTTCTCTGGACTCTTGATGTGATTAGAATCATGATGAGCTATGAAGTCTCTTTTCAGTCGGGGCGTGTCAGCGAGTTACAACAACAAACAACACAAGAACGGCCATTTGCCGAAATGTCACTGATGTAATATTTTTTTACTTTGAAGGCTACGGTGTTATTTACGAATGTGCTGCGTTTGTTGCTGTCAACTGAATTGATATGTCTCTCAAAAACATAACAATATAGAAGTTTTCATTTGACACAACTCTATCAGCCTTATCTATGGCTTTCTGTGAGTACAGCACAACATTTCAACAGCACTGATTAACACAAAGCTGTACATGGGGCTTCCACGTTTACTGTCTCATCGTTGGACGGTCACGCAGTGTCGTCTCGTGTTGTGTGTCTTAAATCAACGCCCCTGAAATGATGCACAACACAGAAGGCTGTAGGGGCTGTCTTGGATGAACATTTAAATATGCTGGAGAAATCCGATGAGATGTGAAGCTCTTAAAGGGGAAAACAACCTATTGTTTTAAACGTGGAGACAGATACATTAATGAGACGTATAGTTTTGGTTTAAAAAAAAGATTTGTAATTTATATTCGCAATAAAGACGTTGAACACAAATAGCTAAGAGTATGAATTGAGGTTAAACTCTTCACAGGTAATGGCGGGGGGCGGGGCCACATTTAACAAGCCCCCCCCCCAACACGTCGGGTGACGTCACCCCAAACACGCGACCCGATTAGAATTCCCACGCCGCATAAGTCGCTCCCGCGCAGCGATTGGCCGGCGCCGCGGTCACGTGACGCCCCCCCACCCTCGCCCTGCCCAGCGGCGCCGTCGATCCTTATGCGCGCTAGCAAATGCAAACGCGTGGGCAAAACTCATGCCGTGCGGACGCGCGCTCTCGCTGCAGTTTCCCCGTCTTCTCTTAACAAACAAACAAACTCTAATCAACGTTAACGGGCTTCGCCGTGCTACGGTGAACAAGGCCACGAGCCGAAGAAAGGTTTGGAGTCTGTAGTTTTAAATTCACCGCTTTTAAGGCGCTTCGGTGAGCGGGACGCGCGGTGCAGCAGTTTGGCGGGGTTTCTCCTCACAACAAACCCACAAACTTCATCGTTCTACAGTCGGCTAAGAGGCTGCAGCACACCGAAGCCGAGCAAAAAGAAAGGCCGGGTGAGTGTGGCGTTCGTTGAATTTGGGAGTCTGTAGTTTTAATTCGAAGTTTTGTTGGGTGGTGATGGTTGTTGTAAGGCTCCCGATGCCGCTTTCGCCGCAGAATGCATTGGGGCCTACAATGTTTTAAAGCGGTTTCTGGATTAATGTAAATATGTTGTTGAGTGCCGCCTTCGTTGTCGTCTTTGCTTACATTCATTCAAACTTTTGCGCCGGTTCTTGGTTGTTGTCGATGTCGAAGTTCTCGCTCGAGGCAATGGGAGACGGGACGGGTGGAAAATCTCTTTAACATGTTGCCTTCCATTGTGTGTGTAACGTGTGGGTGGGTGGGTAACCCCCCTCCCCACTTCCCCCTCCCCTCACCCCCCGCCCCCCCTCCCCTCACCCCCCGTCCCCCCTCACCCCCCGTCCCCCCTCACCCCCCTCCCCTCACCCCCCTCCCCTCACCCCCCCTCCCCTCCCCTCACCCCCCCTTCCCCCTCCCCTCACCCCCACCCCTTCCCCTCACCCCCTCACCTCCCCTCACCCCCCTTCCCCCTCCCCTCACTCCCTTTCCCCCTCCCCTCACCCCCCTTCCCCCTACTCACCCCCCATTCCCCCCTCACCCCCTCCCCTCACCCCCCCTTCCCTCTACTCACCCCCCTCACCTCACTCCCCTCACCCCCCTTACCTCCTCCCCTCATCCCCCTTCCCCTCACCCCCCCTCCCCTCTACCCCCATTCCCCCACCCCCCCTTCCCCCCCCTCCCCTCTACCCCCCTTCCCCCCCCTCCCCTCTACCCCCCTTCCCCCCCCTCCCCTCTACCCCCCTTCCCCCCCCTCCCCTCTACCCCCCCTCCCCTCTACCCCCCCTCCCCCCTCCCCTCTACCCCCCTTCCCCCCTCCCCTCTACCCCCCTTCCCCCCCTCCCCCCTTCCCCCCTCCCCTCTACCCCCCTTCCCCCCTCCCCTCTACCCCCCTTCCCCCCTCCCCTCACCCCCCTTCCCCCCCTCTCCTCTACCCCCCTTCCCCCCTCTCCTCTACCCCCCTTCCCTCCCACCGGCCCCCCCCATCCCCCCCCCCACTCCCCCCCCCACTCCCCCCCTCCCCACCCCCCTTCCCCCCTCCCCTCACCCCCTCTTCCCCCCCTCGCCTCTACCCCCCCTCCCCTCTACCCCCCTTCCCCCCCACCGGCTCCCCCCATCCCCTCCCCCACTCCCCCCCTCCCCACCCCCCTTCCTCTACCAAAGTGCTTCAATCGTGGTAAGTCCATCGCTGGATGAGTCTTGAAGTCACTGCGCTCGCTCGCGTCTCCACCACGCCGCTGGTTGGAGCGCCCTTTGCTTTCCGATGCGCTTCGTTTCCCTGACTGCCCGCTCCGTTATTATCCTTTGAGGGTCGTTCAATCCATCCGTGCTGTGCTATAGGCTCAAGTGTCCTGGGCCCAAGGGGCCCACTTGTTTAGCTTTTAATTTTGATTAAACTGCATACTTTCTACAATGCATTTAAAACTTGTAACGATTATACATTGGTGTGTCGTTTGAAATGTAACGAGTGTGTTCCGTGTGCAATACGTTAAGCCTCCGGATTATTGTCCAGTACTGTGCAGTGTTTACATGTGCAGCCTTTGTTTGCAATCCACTGCTAGATGAGCCCCCTCCCCACCACCTACGTCTGTGAATATTTATTTGACCATACTTCACCACCCTGAGTGCGGGTTTGTGAAGGCGGGGGAGCATAGACGGAGTTCAGTACACTACAACAACAATGGATGTCTCTGTACCGCCATCTCCTGACCACAGCGTAGCCCTGCTTATTAGCTTATTAGTCCATTGCATTTTATTTTTTTATTTACTGAGTCCAACCTAAGACGTTGTTATTCTATGATATTGTTTGCGTATGATGGCAGTATGCTATTTTCACGAGCTAAATGGCAATGAAAAGGGTCTGCCAGTTCGATTTATTTATACGGACAATAATAGCGAATCTACATATGTTGAACTTCTTTCGCACCGTACGTAGCTAACCGTGCTAATCGGGAGGAGGTGGGGAGGAATAACCAAACTAAACACAAAACAGTGCGAAAGAAATTAGTTTTTCAATCTAAATTTGAAAGTGCTTCGATCCAGTGGAATGAATGAAGTGCTGAACACACACACTACGACGACTGGGCTTTCACTTTGTTTTGTCGCATGTAAACACGGTGTAATATCTACTACACGTGTACGTGAATGTTATTTCCGCTGGTCACCCGCTTGCTGTGTTTGCTTCGTTAGTTGCTGTTGCTACAAGTCATAGGCTTGTTATGGTGGGGGGGGGGGGACTTCATACTCTATATCACTTATAAAGACCCCCCTTGTTGAGCAAAGTTCATCTAAGGTCTTTCTGGGCGTAGAGCGAGATTGACGTTCACGTATGTGTGGTGTGCTTTTTAAGAACTCACGGGTGATGTTGGCTTGGGGTTAACAGAGCGATTTCCTAGCGGTTACTTAAATTTCATCGGGTTTTGTTTACACACGTTTCAATCTTTTTTTAAAGCTCATGTTGTGTGTAGCTTGCGACTAAACATTACCCGGATTTGCTCCCGAATCTCAAAGGGGACTCAAGCCGAAGCAGTTTTTGGTCGTGGATTGTTGTCTCAGACGGCTGGCGACCACCACGTTTAGAGAGACACAGGCGTTGTTACGCTGCTGCTGCTTGCCTTCATTGCAGCAAGATACCTCTGCATTATTACATTATTGTTACTGTTCTATGCCCCAAGTATGACTAAATAATTAGCGTGGGTAGCCCCTTAACCAGCAAACGTGTTGCATTGCCGTGTGTAACCGTTTTAGCGAGATTGCAATGCATTAACATCCAAGGAATACAATATCGATGTAGTTATATTTATTGCACCCAATTGCAACTCAATTCATCACCTGGTTATGTGTAGTTGTGGAGGTTTGTGGAATCTGCGTGAATTCTGTGTGTGCAGCACTTGCGTGTGTGCACTGGGCTATGGAAATATAACGAGAGTGTTTCTGGCCACGGATAACATCAGTGCCACGTGGTACCCTGGGGCCTTACCTAGGCCGACTCCACCGTGTGTACATTGTACCTTGTGCACTTTCCAAACATCAGTGCTAAGGAGACAAAGACGACAGTGATTTGGTTGGCACCATGAGGAGTGGTGTGGCTAGCACCAAGAACTTTGCTCAACAAGGGGGTCTCTGTGTGGCCAGCCATGGGGCTAGCCACGCAGTGGTGTGGCTAGCACCAAGAACATTGCTCAACAAGAGGGTCTGTGTGGCCAGGCATGGGACTAGCCACGCAGTGGTGTGGCTAGCACCAAGAACTTTGCTCAACAAGGGGGTCTCTGTGTGGCCAGGCATGGGGCTAGCCACGCAGTGGTGTGGCTTAGCACCAATAACTTTGCTCAATAAGGGGGTCTCTGTGTGGCCAAGCATGGGGTTAGCCACGTAGTGGTGTGGCTAGCACCATGCTTGACCACACCACTGTGTGGATCGCTCTAATAGGTGGTCACGAGCATACTAGCCCCATGACGTAACAAATTTAGTGATATTGCAATGCATTGCATCACATCAACATGCAAAGGAGTATAATATAATACGTATTGCCAATGAAAAGCAACTGTTTGAGATTCAGTTCCAGTGAAGTATCCATTAAATTGTTTTGAGGGTGGTGAATTTCGATACACTGCTCTATTATGTATATATTGGGGCATTGCGAAGTTTTTGGTTTACGTTTTTGATGTTCATAACTGCAGCCACACACGGGAGTACTGTATTTGCCACTTTTCCAAATGGCTAACATGGAGAGTTGAGGCTTTTTTGTTTTGCATTTCCTTTCTTTGGTGGAAGGGCATGCCCAGGCCGATGTAAAGGCAGGCTCCAAAAAAGGGGGGGGCTTAAATGTATGTTGGAGTATGAAGCTTTAATCTGTCTACATCCGGACGGAGTTTCCTGTTTGCAGCCTTGGAAAGGGGAGCTGTGCATTTTGTGTTTGGGTTGAAGGGTAAAACCCACACCGCTCACCACTGGTAGCTCTCACTGTCGTAGCAGCACACATGTACTGCACTGGCAGGGTAACGAGCAACTTACTGAGCGGATGGTGGTAATCAGATGTCCTTGCAGGCTGTTTGACCATACTTCACCACGTAGGTCAGTTCGGATTTGTGAAGGTGGTGGCGGGGGCAGGGGGATGTACGGAACAAGGGTTTTTGTCTGCACTGCTCACTACTGCCTTTTGCACATGGTGAGTGGTCACCCATCCCGTCGCAATCCAGGCTCAAGCCTGCTTGGCTTTTGAGATCTGACGAGATTGAGTACAGCATCGTGATTTGATCAAAGGAATCAATAAATGCATTTGGGCTAAAAAAGCACAGAGAATAATGTCTGTGTGGTCGGTGACTGCACTTTTAATTTTTTTCATGCAAGAGGCTCTCCGTTTGGCATTGCAACCATTTGCGGAGAGGAATGGAATTGACGTTGGGTATACAGATGGGCTGGGTCGTGGGGATGTTTGGGCTTGCATGGATTTGGGGGGTGCCTCCCACCTGTTTTCTGAGCTATTCGCGGTGGGTATCCACTCTCCATGAGTGTGCATTATTTGTACTTGTGCGTGTGCACAGAACAAACTTTCCCTTGCAATGCAGGAAATGTGTGCCAGTTGTTGCGCGCGTGTCTGGGTGGTGGTTGTGACTTTTCAACAGCAGTAAAAATGGTTGCATGTGTTTTTTTTATACTTCATATTACTTTTATATTTCACTCTGGCGTCGCTACTCGGAATATTTTTTGGCGGGGTTGTACCGCTGCAAAGTTGAGCAACTCAGACAGCCGTTTCGTGTTTTTTTTGGGTTGTCTTAGTTTTTGATAGCGCTCGTCTTGTCTGAGGCTACAACAAGCGGCTTTGGGAAACGTGAAACCGTAATGGTTAGCGTGGATTAATGAATGGTCTGTGCGTGCGGCAATCGTGAACTAATATCAACGTTGCAAGCTTTGTGTAATGGATGCCATTGCTTTACTCCAATTATTACATAAATATGGCACGTACATTATTGTTCTTCAGAACATTCATCGGCATCTAATGGTTTGTAAGATAAATGGGTTTAATTGCCAGTTACGCATTTATTGTCTACGTTTTTGTTTTGAAGTTGAATATGTTTTACTTTCAATTTACTTTGCAGCTTAGAAGACACAATGCCAGACTTGACATTTGTTAGTGATTCAGTCAGCGTAGAGTGAAAACAAACACTAATGTGTAATTGAAAACTACTTTTGTTCATCTTCTTGGTTCTTTCGGTAAAGTCACGTAGAATGGAAATAATAAAATAATAAAAACAAAACATCATAAAAAAATATTCCATTCTACGTGACTTTACCGAAAGTACCAAGAAGATGAATCCCTGCAGTCACGAAAGAAGCTTTAAATCGAACATTACTTTTGTTTAGTTACCTTTCAGAAATGGGACAAGAAAAAAAAAATAAGGTCGAATCAAAGTGTAACTAATTGCCATGTTCTGTTTAGGTGACAACTCCTTACTAGTTGGCTGTATCGGGTGGGGGCGGGTTTTAACGACACATTTATATATTTACGTGATCTAACCCCAAAAAACTGTTATGGATGATATTGGTCGCGAAAGCCTACGTGTTAAAGTGTGATATACATGGACATTCCAGGAGTATTAAGTTCAAAGCAGAAAGAGTAATTTAAGTATAGTATTTATATTATATATAAGTGCGGCTGTAATATTCACATGTAAAACATAACGTATGAATAGTTGAGTTGTGCTGAGAGAATGCGTACATTTACTGACACCCATGGGTGCAGCCCTGCAATTGCTACCCCTGGGTAGTATTTGACATCCTGGAAGAGGTGCCCACACTTTACCCAGCTATGCGCGACCTGACGGGTAGATGGGGAGTGGGGAATACAAAAAACTTGCAGATTTCAATTGCCGCACTGGGAGGTTGAACCTGCGACCTCTGCATTGTTAACGCCAGTGTGCTAATCATGACACCATGTTAGCCTCCGAACAGAATAATGGGGCACACCATTTAGAATTAAATTCAATATTATTCCGATGTTGATGGGGAGGGGGGAAGGAAAGTTTCCACAGTTTCAGTTAGAACTAACACCGCTAAATATTTTGGCAATTGTATATTTTCGGGTTGCGTCAACTTTCCAAATTTAAAACTCCACTGATGTCATTTTGTCAACTCAAGTGGATGAGCGTGGCAGGTTCAAGTGGCAGTGGCAGGCTCCAAACAGGAGATGGCACCATGGTCGCGTCTGGAGTGCTCGCTGAAAGATGACTCACCAGGGAGGAAATCACTTGTGTGTATCATGCTGCTGGAAGGGCACTCGCTGAGTATTAAATGGGCGCGTTTGCACTGCTTCTAAAGTAACGCCTATGATCTGTTACCTTCGCATGGCAGTCGGCAGACATGGGTGTAGGTTAGTGGGTCAAAATGTAACTACTTCCGTATGCGGCTGTTTGCAGTTTATCACCATTGTTATGTTGTTGGTGGATGTGTAGTGATTTTATTTGGGGCAGGGGTCGACCAAACTAAAATAACAAGAAGAGACATTTTTTTCGAATCTTTAAAAAAAACTCAACATTTCAAGAGCTGCAATGCATGCGAATACGAGACAGTGGTGTCCGTCTCGAGGCAGGTTGCCCGACCCCTGATTTAGGGGTACGGTTCATATGGATTTAAGGGTGAAAATTTGGATTTGTACTGGTACTTTAATGCCTCTGCATCGCAAAGTGCCTGAAATCTCATCTCAAACGTTCCATTTATTTTAAATGGCAGATTTTGTTGTTGTCGCATCAAGCGCTTGTGCACAAAATACATTTTGATAATGATAAACGTGATCCTTTATTTAACAACTGAGTTGTCTTTGATACAACTATTTAGCGTTTGCACTTAAAGCCAACATTTTGTACCCTTAAGGGGTAGTAGGTGCCCTAAAGGTGTGGTGGAACTTTGCTGGTCACGTGCCCATGTTGACCGTGATTGGCTGTTGAGCCTCACGTGGGTTTCTTTGCCCAGGCAAGCCCAGGCACGTCCCCTTGGGCGTAGCCGCCTTTTGCTTTGGCTCCCCTCTCTACTGCCGATTTCACCCCCTCAGTGTTTTTACGCTACGCAAAGACACTGCTGTGTTTTAAGAGATGGGCGAGAGCTGGTAGAGTTCTTATTTAACACAATACTTTCTAAATTTACGTCCATCGCCATCATGAGACTAGTCAAATGAAAGGGGGGCCATGGTCTCAAAAATGTGCTATTAGCATTGCCCCAGTGGGGTTGCCCGATTTGCATTCCAGTACTCTGTTATAAAAATAGGTTTGGTCCTGCTGATTGCAAAAGTCGAGAAAAGTTGCTCTGTTGATAAAGAAAAATTGTCCACCACTTTTTGTTTAATTGTCCATCCTCTAAAACCACGCATTAGTCCACTAAGTTAGACATTGAGTTGTACCGTACATTTTTTTTAACCATGCTGTTTCTTTGTCTGGTATTTGGTGAATAGCAGATACGCCGACTTAACGTTTCTATGTATTGTTACTTTTAAGAGTTTTATACTCGGAAGCTAAAACGATTCTTGTAATGTTCAAATTGCATGAATGCTTTGTTGTTTGTAACGCAATATGCATTTTTATTTTGCATTCACAGTAAACCCATCCAACAATTGCACATTGGACTCCTAGAAGGGTGTTACGATACATGTTAATTAACCAAACACATGGAAAGCCAGACTAAATATGCATAACTGTGCTCGTTAAATAGTAAAAATGACCTTAATATTTTTTGAGCATTGCTTACTTGTTAGGTTGGTGCAACTTGCATGGGTTTCAAATGTTTACTTATACTTGCATATGACTTGTAGAACAACCATTAAGACATTACAATTTAAGTGACTTAGCCATTAATTTTGTCTATTAGTTGGTGAATTGCTGGATAAAACGCCTTCAAATTCGCATTGAATTTTTACTTGAAACGTTTTGTACTTGCCCTTGCTTTGTAGCATAAATGGCTTTGGTGCCCTCATAATTATCCCCATTGTGTTGCAGCAATTGTAAGAGGTTTGAAGATCTTAAAACTCCCTTCGGAGACCCGCATCGCCAGAAACATTCACATCGTTGACCGTTTCCACATCCGGTTTGTTGCTGTATTCATTACTTTATTGAATTGTGCCCATTTCTTTTTACTCACTCGCAATACAGAAACGAGTCGCTGTGGAGTAACACCGAGGCCTGCACCCAAAGCCTCCTCCTGAGCAACCCTCCATCCCGAGCATTCGAGCGGCCGCCCTGGACTACCGCCGTTAAGCCCTCACCTCCCCTACCGCCGGCACCGGTCGTCACCACCCTTCTGAACACTACTCTGTGTTGGCTGCACGTGAGGACACGTGCGTGCTCGAATTCGCCCAGCCGGCCTTCCTTGCAGACCCTGCATTCGCCTCGCTACCCGCCTATGGAAGGCACGGCACCAGGCAACATGGGTTGCGTCGACGACTTCGATCGTGTCTGGCAGGGGGGGTAAGGCTTATCACGGCGGCCTCGCACAAGTGTATAACATAATTACTGAAGTATCAAACGTAGCGATTCCCCGCCCTCTGGGCTCGATTTGATGGGGTGCAAAGATCTGGTATATTGATTGATTCTATGCTTCATTAATTATTGCCTTGTTTGGTAGCATTTTCAAAGGTAAAAGTGCAAGCATAATGATTTGCATGGATCTTGAATAACCAATTATTGCATGTATGATACATAATTTGCACCGAATCTTGAATAACCGATTCTTAATTTCGATGCATATATCGTGGGCGTAAGAATCATTTTTTCCATCACTAAATCGTTAGATGTTTATCGTGACGTTAAAATGTCATGGTTTGGGCATTTCTCTAATCGCCAAAATCAAATGACATTTAATGACTCGATCCATGGGTCATTTGTTTGAACAAGGCAAACCCCTGGGACTGTTTTGACCGTAACTTTGTTTCAATCAGCAGGGTGTTGCTTCTGAATGCCTTCTGGGATGCATTTTTTTAATGTATAAAAATATGTTCTTGTTATACCCAGGTCTCCCTTGAAAAATTAGACTTTGGGTGTGCCAGCAGACTACCACCTGGTTCAAATGGATGGGATTGATTGGGAGAGGCCCCACTGCTCTGTGGGTTGTCATTTCATATTGGCGATTAACCAAATTTCCTGTTGTTGCTGCTTGCAGTCCACGGAAGGAAATTATTATTATTATCTTGCTTTACCACTGTTTATTTATGGACATTGGAATCTGACTTTGTTTTTACATTGGCAGAAAGTTTGCACCAGTTTCCGTTGATCAGATTTAGGATGCTTAATGGCTGAAATTGTTACGTGTGTCTACTGCAATAGATGTTCATTTTCGTATATTTTGGTCTCAGATGTATTCCAAACGGTTCCAATTACTCATTTATGAAACCGGATAAGAATGAGAAGTTGGTACTGTGAGCAAATTCGTAGGGGGCATGATTGAGGGGATATATTCAGATGTCATCATTTTGTTACCTATACTGGTTCCATTCATTTATAATTTAAATATAAGTGACTCGGCTTCTCTGTGAATTATGGTATTCCGTTTTCCTTAATGAGTTATGTTATCATTGGTATCATGGACCGTAGCCTTCATTTAGCTCTGACAAATGCTGACCTCCCAAAAGAGGCATCTTGTTAACTTTTTTACGGAGACCGAGAAGTGATGACTTGAGAGGGGTGACATCTGCAATTAATTAACCGCCTCGGAGAACCCTAACCCACCCACCCCATCCACTGTGAAACCTCGCGTGCATACCTTATTCCATCTTACCTATAAAAGAAATTTTTTTGTCTGTCCGTCTGTGTGTTCGCACACTTGCGAAGGATTTGTTTCTCAAATGGTGGGGTTAACGTCAAATAAAATTAGCCAGGTATCACGCCGTAAGCCCCGCGATGGGCAAACGCTAATCGTTTTTGACGTCCCTCAACTTTGAATTAGATAAATTAGCGATTTTTTACGTGCGCACGGCCATACCAACTCACACGCCTTCGGTGGGGGGGACGGCCTCTACCAAGTGACACACGTTCAGTGGGGGTGAGGGGGAAATTTTATTTCGCGTGTGTAAGTCCATATGTGTGTGTAGGTTGATGTGTGTGAGTGTATGTGTGTGTGTGAGTGGGGAGCGGTAGTGTAGTGGTTAGCGCGCTGCGCTATGAACCTGGTGACCCAGGTTCGATTCCTGCTCACTGGCCAACACCAGTGACGATTATCTGAACCGGTCCTGGGCCACCCCTAGGTCGACTCAGCCTTAAATGAGTACCTGGTGGAGTGTGTAAACATCGCCACTGGGGAGACAAAGGCGATTGAGCGTGGTGCTGGCCACCCACCCCCTCGTGTACCGTTCCGGCCTTCATAGGTGCTCGCTAACAGCACTTGCCCCTACAGTCTGTTAAGGCTATACGGGGGATCTTTGTGTGTGTGTGTAAGTCGATGTGTCTGTAAGCAACGCCGAGTACGTCCCGCTAGTAAAAATATAAACACGTGGAGTTGGCAAGTTGTTACTCACCAAAAGTGCGCAGATACGTCAACTGGTCGGCGAGTCACCGTTTGGCGACTGAGTGATTTTGTGGTTCTGATTCACCAAGTTTTGTCGGTTCCAGACGTTACCCTTGGCACGGAGTTTTTGAGCTCCTCTCATTCTGCGGCAGTACAGCCAAATGTTTCTTTCCATGTGACTTAAACTCCTGATGTTCTTTTCCCCACCCTCCCTGTTTTCTGTGTTTGTGCGTCTTTTATCGAAGCGTTGGCCTCCTGGACATGATGGATGTAAGTACATCTTCATTTTCCTCTCCGTATTTCTATTGTATGGTTGATCAAGCGATTTTTTTTGACAAGCTTGCATTTGACACTGGCTCTGAAAGCTGGACTTGTATTATTCTATGTTGAAAGGTTAATTCTTTTCACTCTCTTTAAGCACAGGTGAATGGTAATGTTATACCAGTTCAATTGTAGCTACATTGAAAGTGTTTAAATGTCTCTTCAATGCGGTCTGGTATCTTGACTTTCGTTCACTTAATTTACTGTAATAGGAATAATATGCAATTGTGTGTGCTAAGTTTCGAGAGTAGGTTGCTACATTTCCTTGGTGTATGCCTTAGTGTGAACTGATTCAGTCGATCTTGATGTTTATAGTGAACTTCACGTTAATAACGGCATCTCAGACCGATGTACCTAAAATGCTTTTGACATGAATGCCCAACGTTGGGAATCTATAACGTACAAGACAATTAATTTAAAATAACAAGACATAGCCTTACAAATGTAATTTAAAACGAACGATAGCTTCTATTGTAATTATCATTTACCAAACAAGTTTTGCAATCGAGACCTGGAGTGTGTACGGTAAGTGTTGTTGGGAGCGTTCATTGTATACACCTTACCCACTTGAGCATAGAATATTTTAGACTTGCAAGCAATAAAAAACACACCTGGAAATGATTACAATTCATTTGCGATGTTAAAATGTGCTTTTTGTCTGAATCTGTATATATAAAAAAAAACTTTGGTTGTTTTAAATTGTCGAGGCATAGACAAAGCAACACCTATTTTTCCCCCATTATTGACCCAAAACTTATATTTAGAGGACATTCACTGGGGAGATGGAGCGACGAAATCGGTCATTGTGCAGGTGCTAGGTGCATGTATTACATTTCAGGATCGTGAGAGGTGGCAGCAGCAGCTTGGGGGAAGCCTTCATCCAGCAGTGGATTGACCATGGCTGATGATGATTTTTTTTAAAGTTTACTTGGACGCAAGTGAGTGAAAAAATACGTGAATTTACAAAATCGATGGCGCACCTATTTGCACTGCGGTGCACAACGTCAGTAATAATTGCTTGGGGGGGGCCTCTGCTCCATGAATGAGCCTTCGTTCATGGGGGGGGGGGGGTAAATCACTCCAGCTGATCGTGGCAATCCTCAGGTCCTCGTCCACCCTTTAAAAAAAACGTTGGTGGCAGAAACTCGTTCACCACGTCTTGGTCAGCTCTCGCATCCCCCCCCCCTCTCTTTGCTAGCTGAATGTGTGTGTGCTCCGACCCTAGCAACTGGCCTTGGATACGCTCACATGCCCGGGCATGTCTAAGCCGAGGGGGAGGGGTGGTGGGGGGGGGAGACGTCACAGAGGGAGGGGGGGTGGTTATGGTGAACCTGGGCGGTGCTCGTGCAACAAAATAAGAGCCCTCAGCCTCGTCTAAGTCTGGTGGAGTTGGGGTCTTTTTTAACCCAATAGAGAAACGTACATGCGTGGCTACCCTAGCGCGGCTGCAATGGTCATAAATAATTTGCACATTTGTAACTGACGTGCTTTTGGCACCAGGATGTTAGCAAGTTTTCGTTAACTGAAGAAAACATTTCGACCGTGTGACATTGCCTGCCCAAGAGGCCATCGTGTTGGCGAAGTGCGAAGATTGTCGATTTTAAGTTTTGCATAATAATTGTTTATGCAGCATTAATAATAATACTACGTAAAAAATAAAAACCCAAATGTTCTTGAAGCCAGGACGGGTGTTGGTTAAGTTAAGGTGCCATTTTCCAGCTAAATTAGTTATAGGCAGGCACCCTTTTGTTGGAAGGGACAGCAAACCCATGCTTGTGGCCACAAGCTGGAGACGGATAAGCTCATCAGTGCTCTGTCACCGTTGTCATGACCTTGCTGGGCTTTAGCAAAACGAAATTATTTTATAACAACGGTAAGTGATTTTATTTTGTCTATTTGAATGTCTTCAGTAAAAAAAAAATTCAATGCAACTGCGCCCATCGCGTTACCCCGTATGGTTATTTATAAAGTGGTTGTTTGTTGGGTTATTCCTGTGTTGCTATTTTTAAGAATCTTAGGTTTGTCAGTGGTTAAATTTGTCTGCGGGACATTTACATTAGAGATCTGTGGTTGCTTGTGTGTGGGAGTGCATTTGGTTTATGGTTTTTTAAATATTGATAATTTGTTATAAGTAAAGTAAGCTGACTAGTTTGCCTTGTCTTTCGGAGGATAACCATTGGGCCCTTTCACGCTCCGGCCAGGACTTGGTAATCCTTACATTGCATATTACTTAAGTTAATTGTGAATAAGAATATTATAAAGACTCTTGTGAAGTCACTATAGAGTAAGCTGTTGTGTGGCAATATTATTGCCCATCTAAAAATAACTACATTTTGTATATGATTGGTATCTGAATAAAACCAGTCTAAAAATGGTCTTGCTAAATTGGTTTTAATATTGGTTTGACGGATTTGATTTTAGGCATCAACTTTTTGGTGATTTCCAAATCTTAATTAAAACTCCATTATTTTGCTCTTCTAGGAGGTGGTGAATGAGGTGTGCGATATTGACTATATTCGTGGGTAGTTTTAAACTTAAGGTCACTGGTTTCTAGAGCAAGTCTGTTTACTACATTGGAATCCAAATTGAGCTTGGCACTGTGTAGTAAGCGCCAGCTCATGCCCTGTGCATGTCGATTTTTACTTTTTCAGTTTTATGCATTTGCTTCATAACATGTTTTTTTCTCTTAGAGCAAAAGTCCTCTTAATTGGCTCGATCGGCCTAAAAGAGCATTGACCTTCACATTTACTAAAGAGACTTGAAAATACTTGGGCAGGCAACGATATCAGGTTATCAGAACCCTGATGCTCTCATGACTTGGCAATATCTCTCCAGAGCAAACAATTTGAAACTTTATTTAAACAAAAAAAGTCTTGACATCTGACCTAGCTCCGCGACCATTCCACAGACCGCAACTGAAACAGGAGGAGCGTGGCCATTTCATCGAAAACTGCCCTGAAAGGCTCTGACCAGCTGTCGGGGTTGACACTAAACCAACGACTGTTTATTCTCCCCCCCCCCCCCACCATAGCAGATGTATAACATGATCAATCCGGACTTGGAGTCGTCGCCGTTTGACAACTTACCGATGCCCGACTCCGAATCGGCGCTGCTGGACCTGCAGCCGCCGTGCGAGCTGCCCGCTTGCCCAACGTTCAACGCGCCGATCGCCGGCCCTTCCATCCCCTCCACCGATGACTACCCGGGCAGCCTCAGTTTCCACTTGTCCTGGCAGCAGTGCAGCATCGCCAAGTCGGCCACATGGACGGTACGTAGCGGGACGGTGGGGGATTTGGCCACACTCCCGTGGTTCATTGATGGGTTCATCCTAATCATCAAGGGGCGCCACGGTGGCAAGATGTTAACTACCTCGCCTGGTATGCAGGAGGATGTGGGTTCAATCCCGACCCTGATGCCTGCTGTATACAGGGTGTTTCAAAAAGATTGACCCGATTTGAAATCGCTATATCTCTGCAACCACGAACCGCCCATGAATGAAACTCTTAACACTTGAAAGGGCGGGGCATAGAGAGGGCGGGGCATAGAGAGGGCGGGGCATAGAGTTTCAAATGATTACCGCTAGATGCCTCTCCCAGCGCACAAACAGCCCCTAGCCTTAGTCATCCGCAAGATGGCGACCCCGCAACACAAGGCGTTTTGCGTTCTGCAGTTCAGCAAGACTGAATCCGTAATTGCGGTGCAGCGTGCGTTTCAATGGCGTTTTGGCATTGATCCGCCAATGTCAAAGAGCAATCGTCGTTGGTACCGACAATTTGAGGAAACGGGCTGTTGATGTAAGGGGAAGAGCACAGGGCGACCACGCACCTCAGAGGAAAACGTGAGAAGAGAGGCGTTTGGGACGAATTCAACTATCGTCTCGATGTTGTCCATACAGCAGGTGGGAGGGCACATCGAGCATTTGTAGAATGGGTAGTAAAACTTGAGAACTCATTAAGCCGTTTGTAACTTTTTGTGTAATTGTAACATGTTGCCATCGTGAAATATACTGCTTTGAAATTGGGTTCATCATTTTGAAACACCCTGTATTTGGAGTTTTCCCTGTGGTCACATGGATTTTCCTCCGGTTTTTCCCTCCACATTTAGAAGCATGCGATTTAGAGTATTTGGCTGCTATAAGTTTCCACGTAATAAGCCACTTTGTTGAGCTGTCTTTTGGGGTCAGGTCACTTCTGAAAAAGAGCTACTGTATATAGCTCATTGCGCCTTACGTGGGGAAAAAAAGTGTCGTTTTTAGTTTATGTATGTTGAACTTCATTCGCACCGTACGTAGCCAAAGTGTTCATAGGTGCTCGCCAACACCACTTGACCCCAACGGTCTGTAAGGCTATATGGGGGGGGATCTGTGTTTTTACCTTTTTGCAGTACTCGCCCGACCTCAACAAGCTGTACTGCCAGATCGGCAAGACTTGCCCGGTGCAGCTGCGCGTGGCGACCCCGGTGCCGTCCGGTTGCGCAGTGCGTGCCATGCCCGTGTACAAGAAGGCCGACCACCTGACCGAGGTGGTTAAGCGGTGCCCCAACCACGAGATCTCCAAGGAGTTCAACGACGGTAATGTTTCACTCGCCTTCGTCTCCGTCCTGTGGTTAACGATGAAATAACATAATCGCATGAAGTATGATTGGGCCAATTAACAGGTATATAATACACACTTCTTATTTCGTATGGTTGATGTAGATGCGGAGCAACGACTACAATTTCACTTTGAGGTGGTCGTACCAGATAAGTGTCAGGATTAGCGGAGTTTAATTGCCGTGATGTCTCCTTCGTATTTGTGGATCGGGCATCGCGTTATTATATGTTGTACGGTCTGTTCTGGATGACTACAGTCGTGCACTACTGGGGAGTTTTTAATTTTCCATATGTGCATCAGGTATCCGCATCTACTGCAATGGTTTGTGGAGCTGATGTGGTTTAGGGGTTGGACCATTAGCTTCGTGGAAGATCAAACCCAGGTATCTTCTGATATACTCAATGATACATAGGTCAGCCACCTTTATAACCAAGGTGAAAGCCCTTTGACGTAAGTCTTTGGCAGGTGCAAGGAAGTCCTAGGGTTTACCCAGGTGGCTCGGCAGTAAAGCGTGTTGCTGGCAATGGTAAGGTTGCAAATTCGAATCCTGATTGGGGGGAGGGGGGTTACCTCAACCCATAATCATCTTCTGGTGTCGTTAAAATGAGTATTATTATTTTAGTTGTCCGATGGAGAGAACCCCTCGCCAGTAGGAATGTGGAATTTTCACCACCGCCTCTCGACTATTATAAGCAGGAGTTGAGCGCCACCTCGACGATCAATTTTAGCAGCAGAAACACGTGAGTAATCGCAGCTTCTGCTACTTTTGTGCGCAGGAAACAACCTGGCCCCGCCAAGCCACCTCATCCGGGTGGAGGGCAGCGTCCAGGCCGACTACGTGGACGACCAGAACACAGGCCGCCAGAGCGTGCGTTTGCCTTACGAGCCCCCGCAGGTATTCACTTCGCGTCAGCCGCTTGCCTGAGTGGCCCGGAAGCTCAGGAGGATTTGGGGTTGCTCATTCATCGTCGAGCTGTTGAGCATCCTGTCCGAATAATATTTACAACATCTTCTTGGTTCTTTCGGTAAAGTCACGTAGAAGGGAAATAATACAAATAAAACATAATAAAATATTTTATTATGTTTTATTTTATTATGTTTTATTTTTATTATTTCCCTTATACGTGGCTCTTCCGAAAGAACCAAGAAGATGAATCCCTGCAGTCACGAAAGCTTTAAATCGAATATTTACAACAGTCGCCCCGTAATGTTGCCTTCATTGATAGACACTTAATGGCAGTATTAGGCCACCGTTTCCTGGATGTCGAATAGCACACCTACTCTGAATGATTACATCCCTACTTAATATGCTGTTGTAAAACAACCAGTCCTGTGAATGGTTGCTGATGTCTCTGTGCCCAACGCTCTGCGTTCTCTACCTGTGTGTGTGTGTGGCCCAGGTGGGCACCGACTTCAGCACGGTGCTGCTCAATTTCATGTGCAACAGCAGCTGCGTGGGTGGCATGAACCGCCGCCCCATCTCCGTCATCATCACTCTTGAAGCCAGCGAGTGAGTGCCAGTAACAATTTGCCGTTTTAAATATTCCAACTGCGGTCAACTCTTGCCGGACATAAAGATATGCACGCATATTACACAACATGTTAATGTGTGTTATTTGGCCATTTACTAAGGATCAAGACAGTGGTGACTGGTTACACGTGAGAATCACAATACAGTAAAACCTTGGATTGTGAGCATAATTCGTTCCGGAAGCGTGTTTGTAATCCAAAGCACTCGTGTATCAGTTGTGATCACGTGACACTCGGCAGACACGTACTACTCGTATTGCAAGACCTCGCTCGTTTATCAAATTAATATTTATTTCAAAATTTCGCTCGTCTTGCAAAACACTTGCAGACCAAGTTACTCGCAATCCAAGGTTTTACTGTATTTATTATTACTCGAGGAATCTGATGAGCTATAAGGCTGTTTTTTTACAGATGTCCAGTAGGGAGGGGCTGGTCAGAACGTTAACACTTGCACGCTGATGTAATCGTACATTGGACTTGCAATTCAAAGGTTGTCGTCGATTCGATGCCATCTTATCTTGCAGTGCGGCAGTTATATAATTGGTTGCACCTCAGTTGGTGTACGCCCCCGTGTGGTGGAGTAAAGTGCACAGTGCACTAACCTCCTTGATCTCAGCCTTGATGAGTCAGCCAAAGTAGGAGGCCTTTCCACGAGCATTGGTATAAGCAAGCAGTTTATACGGCTGCACCCTTACATTTTTACACACTTGATGACGTGTTATGCTATTGATTACATTTGTGTCAGTGCAGTCATTCTTGAGCATCTTCTGTGAGTGTGTAAAGAAAAGATCAGTGTGCATTTGTGTGTGTCCCTGTTGTTGGTCCACAACATTCATTCTCCATCACCTTACCTCCCTCCACCACCTTTTACCCCCATCCCCACTCACTCATGGGTCACAACTCTCCCACCACCTGCAGTGGCCAGGTGTTGGGCCGCCGCTCCTTTGAGGCCAGAATCTGCGCTTGCCCCGGGCGCGATCGCAAGTCGGACGAGGAGAACTTGCGCAAGCAGGAGCGTGAGCAGGAGCGTGAGCAACAGGGGCCCGCGCGGGTGACGCCGCCGCCGCCCCCGCCGCCGCTGGCTGTGAACGGCGGGATCAGGAGCAGCCTGGTGCTGCCTGCGTCCGGTCAAATCACGCTGAGCTCGGACAGCGAGGGCCCCTCCGTACGCGTCTTCACTGGGAAGAGACGTGAGCCAAGTTTGTGTGGTGGTGGTGGTGCTTGATTTTTTTCTACGTTTGTTTTGTGTGTTTAGCAGATGTGTAACACTTGGGGGGGTTACCCTATGTATGTTGAACTTTTTTCGCACTGTACTTAGCCAACCTGCCAGCTCTTAAAGCATCTCTGCAACTATTTATCTAATTGTTTGTATTATAAGTGTTCACTTGTAATCTTATGCATTTTTGCACACGTGAAATTTAGTTGCTCGTTTTTTTTCTCCCAGAAATGTTGGCTCGGAAAACAAGCCCTGATTTGAACATTATGTCTGGGGAATTAGAGTTCGCTGTAAGTAATAGCATTTTGCAGGAAGGCATCCCTTGTGTATAGCGGGGGGATTCCTGTATAGCAGGGCCCCCGGGGGAGCATTCATGGCCAGAATTAGAAAAGCAGGAACAGGTGGGCACGAGTGCTGCACCGCCTTTTGAGCAAAGCTCCTGCCACCTGCTGGTCGAGAGTGGTGACGCAAGCAGAGGCGATGTCTAACCTTTTAAACTATAAATCTTGACTTAAAGCTTTCGTGACTGCAGGAATTAATATTCATTGGGTCTTTTGGTAAAGCCACGTAAATAGAAAAAAATAATAAAAATATCACGTTGTTTCGATCACAAGACAAGCAATCATCATCAGGTGAAAACGATACTTTGTAAAACCTCGTTATTTCGGTATTTGAGATTTCTTAATTGGGGATAATTCGGCATGGCTGTGCTTTCGGCATATATACAGTTTTAGTAATTCGCCATGAGCCGAATTGCCGGATGAATGTGTAAGTAGAGAAGCTAATTGCTGGCGGATGCCTTAATTCACAATGAAATGCAAACAAATTTGGAGTGAAATTGTGTTTGCCTCCACAGTTCGGAAGGCGCATTACCTCGCCACGAAGCGTTCTCGTCCAGACGAAAAGGAAGAACTGTTTCTCATCCCGGTATGATGCATGCACTCCCCACCCATCCCCTCCTTCCTAATGCTTTCCAAAGTTGAAAATAATTCTCTGTCTGCCTTTCTATCCATCTGTGTGTCTCCAACATGGGTCGATGATAATTCTCTTCAGGATGATCTCGTGTAAATTAAATCTTAGTTTAAAATTGCGTTTCTGTTAAAGACAAAGTTTAGAAAATCGGGTGAATAGTTTTTTAAGGGAGTGCACAAACGTTAGAGTTTATTATAATAACGGATGAGCATTTTCAGCCATCACATTTTTGTCACATGCCATGTGCACACACTCGCCTCACCATGATATTGTCATCTCTCCACGGCGTATCTCGCGCGCCACGTGATATCGCATTTCGTGTCTTGGAAGGTTACATTAATGTAGCTGCTATTTCCAACGCATGTTGGAAAGCATTTTACAGGATAAATGCGTATGCATGTACTTGGGTTTTTTTTTTCATTACCCACACAGCATGTTGTTCCGTGCTGTCTTCCAACACTTAACCAGCTGACTTGCTGTCCCGTTCGACCATCCTAGGTGCGCGGTCGTGAGAACTACGAGCTGCTGCTACATTTGAAGGAGAGCCTGGAAATGAAGCAGTTGGTGCCACAGCAAGCCATGGAGACGTACCGCCAGCAGCAGCTGCACCAGCAGCAACAGCTCGTGCCAAGGTGAGTTGTGGTGCGGAGTATGTGTATGAGCGTGTGTTCAACAGTGGGGAACAGAAATGGAGCGGTTGGCGCATTGCACTGCGAACCCAGCACACCGAGTGCGATTCCAGATCATGGCTAACACTGATGACTATTATCTTAACTGGTACAGGGCTTCCCCCAGGTGGACTCGGCCTACAACGAGTACCTGGTGATACGTGTAATCGTTGTCACTCTGGAGATAAGTTGGCCAGGCGTGGTGCTGGTCACCCACTCGCTTATGCGCTGTGCCGGCTTTCATCGCTACTCACTTGCCCCATCAGTCTGTAAAGGCAAAAAATGGGGGATCTTTGTCTTTGTTAAAACAGCTGCAATCGGGATAATTGGTTTTTTACCCTTCTATCTGGCAACAAAACTGACACCTTTTTTACAAGGAGTCATGTTTGCATAGACCACAATACCTGCAGTCATAATGCAAACAAAAAACATAACTCTGATAATGTGCACTGTCCTTGAAGTTGATTGGTCCACACCCGAGACAGCTTTCCTTAGAGCCTAGTCTCACATGGGTTGGACAAGATGACGCCAAAAGGCGTTTTGGTGGAGCACGGCGTAAGGCGGCGGGGCTTATACCTCCCATATTGAAATTTTTTTTTACAAAATTTGTGGGAGCATCTTCTTGGTCCCTTCGGTAAAGTCACGTAGAATGGAAATAATAAAATAATAAAAATAAAACATAATAAAATACAATTCTCACGACGTTTCGGCCACAATGCAAACAGCCTTCCTCAGGTGAAGAACAGGTCTGTCGGAAAGACAGCGTCTGAATGAACACCACCAAGCTTGGCAGCGTATATATAAGCTGGTTTAGAGGAGGAGGGCGCCTTGACAAAGGACTTTGCATATCAACAGAGGAATTTATCATATTTATGGAAAATTCAGATATGGGATTAGTCACTACGTGTGGAATGTGTAGGAGGTGGGAGCATTTCCGTAAAGTCGGATTTCGGTAAGTTGGGTCTTCCGCAACCCGGGGACTTACTGTAAACACTTGATGATGAATGTTTTTGTTACAAATTTCGTTTAAAAAGAAAAGTTACACTGTCCAATTTCCCTTGCCCCCCCTGCGTAGGATCATGAAGGCACTTGTGAAAAAGGAGCATATGGATAAGAAAGAAGATAAGAGTCCTCCAGAGAAGTAACAAGCTTATTTTAAACTAAATAAATTGCTGGTGCAAATTTATTTTTTAATTGCGCCAAAGGAGGAGGGGTACAGATGACTAATTGCGTCAGAGTACATGCGTGTTGTGCATGTAATTTTTAGTGACGTTTTGTACAATCACTTGATAAAATCTGTACGTCACCACTTGTTTGAGTGACGCTGCGTCGCATTAAAAATCATTGGGGTCTCCCTGTTTTTTATAAGATCAGAATTATGACATCGCAATGTGGTTTTCTTGCAAAATTGTTTTGTGTAGATGTTTTAGTGCGTTCAATGATATAGACATGGCGGTGCCACTGTGTGTGGGGAAACTCTATCTGATTCGTCCATCACACTTGATCAATGTTATCTCAGAACAGTGTTTACTGTACGTACAGTTATGAGCAGCAACAGCCACAAGAGGTAGTCCCTCGTGCCTAGTGCCAGCGTCGGAAGAAAATATAGCAGTTTTGGGTACGGTGTCGTCCGACCGTGATCCAGCTGCCCCTCATGTTGGGAGGGGGGGGGGGGGGTTGGTGTATCGCTTTAAGATGGGAGCGATGCTCCCCCCAAGTGTCAATGCTTGCCAGACATTGCCTCGTCTTGAAGCCAGCAGGGTATATAGCCATGCTGCATAGCAGCTGTATGGACCGACCACACGTGCAAAAAGTTAATCCATGTATCGAACAACAGCAAAAACTTGATGGATGATTTGCAATTTGTGGTAAGGCACTCTGGTTTTCCTCTGAGAATTGTGATCACAGCCAGAGGCTACTGGAGCCTTGTGCAACGTTTAAGAGACTTGACCTGAGCCTGGAGTTGTGGGGAACAGTTTCATCAACCCCAACTTTGTGTTACCTCACTGAGCCTCAAGTGTGAGCAGAATGCAAGGCAGAAGAGCGTTATCGAGGCCTTGGTGTACGTACGGGCACGGATGTGCTGTACGGTTGGTTTTAAGTAGTGGATGTTTTTTTCAAGGTGGTTATGGGGGTTAACGCGCTTTTGTGCTGCGTGGTCTGAGTTTGCCTGCCTGCAAAAAGCAGCCTCCAGAAGTGTTTGCAGAAGGAGACGATCGTATAATATATAAAAAAACACCTTGAAAACGCAGTGTTCCGCAACTAATTACACTTGTGCTGTGTTTATGTTTAATTGGTAACGGAGCATTCCATTTTTTTTTCTCTGAAAGGTGAGCCTATGTGTTACCACCGAAGAGGGCTTTTTTATGTTTTATATTAACTTTTAGCTTTGTTACAAGATGTTTGTAGTAGTTTTTTCGTAGTTTCGAAATACTGTTTCGTAGCTGTTATTTTGTACATGGTAAGAATTAGTCCTTAGGAATTTCTGATTACTGTTTTGAAACAGACATTTCTTAGACTCCGCCGGTTGTTTTTCTGATGTGTTTTTTACTCTGCCAAACCGCTGCTTCTGCCATTTGAAGTACACAGTACCATACATTACAAACGATACGGGTGCATTTCCTCACTTTTCACACATCACTGCCATTTTTCTACTGAATCCCATTGAAGTCAAGCAAATATGTACTTTCCATTTAAGTGCATGCTTGTGTGGCAGGTCCACAGCTTTTGTAGCAAGTAAATTATGCCTCCACAGCATTTTTATTTCACTTGAATCGTTTCATTTATGTTGAAAGCTGTTTTGTCATCCTGGGCCTATTGAATCCACAAATGTATTTAGTCTTCGGATATATTCATATAATATACCGATGTAGGTTTTAAAAGTTTTAAATATTAGTAAAATAAAATATAGGAAACCAGAACACATTGTTTTCTATGTTTAATGTCTTCCCATTGCCAATGTGTTGGATGGTGCATCGTTAAGAATCCAGGTTTTTTTTTATACTTGCATGGATTAATGCTGCTTAGATTGACACGAAATTGACGTTAACATGCTTTTTTGCTTTCAGCTACTTAGAAATGTTTACGATAATAAAATAAATAAAAAATATTGTTATTGTATCTGTCATTTTTTTCAATCACACATGCACGTGATGGATGTCACAGATTTTGGTGGGGAAAAAAACATGGTTTTATTCTCCACTTTAAACCAAACTGCACTGGGTCCGTGCCAAACCAACCTGGCGCAGAAGGCGCGAGGTTTCCCCCCCCCCACAACAAACGCCGAACGGTGCTGCCAACATAAGCATGCAACAAAGAGTTGAGACGCATGTGGATCATGCAGCGAGTGACACGGATCGGGGTTTACTGACGGATGTCGCACATAATAGATTCCGGTTGCTGAACGAATACATTGTAATGTCGAGCTCGTTACGCACGAAGTGCTTGCCACAAAACACATTCCTGCAGAGGGAGCTGGTAGGAACGTTGGGTTGCTCGGTCAATGGCCAGGGTCAACGGCGGCGTGGTGTATTCCGCAAATATGGCCGACTGTGAGGGCGGGCACAAGCCGGTGTGAGTTGGTTAAACATTGATAAGGGCACCACGGGGTGACCAGCCCCTCCCTACCCAGCCCCACTCCCTACCCAGCCCCACCCTCTCCACCCAGCCCCACCCCTCCCATTTTTGGATGCACGACGGACGGACACAATAATCCCCTGTGTGCTGATGTAACCAGGAGGTTCCTACCAGTATTAACCACAGTACCTTGTTGATCTCGTCAAGGAACATAACCATCACGCGAATAATGGTCATCCTAGCAGCTGCAGCAGCAGGTAAGGTAGCAAAAACGCGTGAGTGGCCACTGATTTATTTCTACGGGCAATCTGAGCGGATTTACTTGATAACAATTTACTATTTATATTGGCAATTATCACAAGGCCAGAGAATCTGAAGAACGGCTGTTTGATTTTTATGTATCAGGTCGATTTTTTTTACACATTCGTAAATAGCAGTGGCCTTAAAGCGGAGGAAAAAGTGTTCTGTAATTTCAGCAGGCGACGTTTCAGGCCAGGGCCTCCCACACGTGGGGATGGGTGACCAATGAGCGGTGCCGCCTGTCCGCGGTTTGACCAATGAGCGGTGCCGCCTGTCCGCGGTTTGACCAATGAGCGGTGCCGCCTGTCCGCGGTTTGACCAATGAGCGGTGCCGCCAGTCCGCGGTTTGACCAATGAGCGATGTAGCCTGTACGCGGTTTGACCAATGAGCGGTGCCGCCTGTCCGCGGTTTGACCAATGAGCGATGTAGCCTGTACGCGGTTTGACCAATGGGCGGTTCTGCCTGTCCGCGGTTTGACCAATGAGCGGTGCCGGCTGTCCGCGGTTTGACCAATGGGCGGTGCCGCCTGCCCGCGTTTTGACCAATGAGCGATGTAGCCTGTACGCGGTTTGACCAATGAGCGGTGCCGCCTGTCCGCGGTTTGACCAATGAGCGGTGCCGCCTGTCCGCGGTTTGACCAATGGGCGGTTCCGCCTGTCCGCGGTTTGACCAATGGGCGGTGCCGGCTGTCCGCGGTTTGACCAATGAGCGGTGCCGCCTGTACGCGGTTTGACCAATGAGCGGTGCCGCCTGTCCGCGGTTTGACCAATGGGCGGTGCCGGCTGTCCGCGGTTTGACCAATGGGCGGTGCCGCCTGTCCGCGGTTTGACCAATGGGCGGTGCCGCCTGTCCGCGGTTTGACCAATGAGCGGTGCCGCCTGTCCGCGGTTTGACCAATGGGCGGTTCCGCCTGTCCGCGGTTTGACCAATGGGCGGTGCCGCCAGTCCGCGGTTTGACCAATGAGCGACGAGCGAGGCGACGGCCGGGGCCCCGGTCGCCTAGCGACCGTGACGCCTTCACCCGGCTCAAGGTATGGGATCGTGTAACGGCGTTACAATATTTGATGATTATATTCCTTTAAAATGCAGTGTTATATAGCCGAATGTTTATTTTTATAGCAACGTGAACTGTTATCGGCATTGTTGCGATTGAGCTGCGATGCGAAAACGGGAACCAGGGCAGCGAACAGAAGCCGAGGCCTTGCTCAGGCTCACTTATTTATTTTTATGTCACAGCAAATTGCGTTACGTCCACGTGTAACGTATACTATACACGTGTCACAATACTCACGTCGGCGTATGTACAAGGGTGCAAGTTTGTACACACGAACGGGTTAGCCGCCTGAATATAGATATAAACATTAGGCCAGGATCTTACAGCGGAGGCGTGAAAGTTTTAAGGGCCGCGTTTGTAATTAGCGAACGCACACGATTTTGATCCCCTCCACTCTTATTTACCCTCGGTTATTGACGAGGTCTCTCGCTCGAGCCTTGCAACACACACACTTGCTGGCCACTCTTACTATTTTACACTACATCACAAACAAGTGGGTTCGTCAATTGTGCGTAAACAACAGCGGTTGCATCTTAGGTTCATCTCACGCACGGGCAGATTCATCTCCTGTCACTTTGACCACGAGCTTCACACATTATACTCTTAGGTTTTTTTCGGTAAAGTCACGTAGGTAAAAATAAATGATAAAAACAAATAATAGAAATAATATTATTCAATACATAATAAATAATAAATATGAAAAATAATAGAAATAATCTTATTATGTATGTTTATTATTTATTTTTACCTACGTGACTTTACCGAAAAAAACCTAAGAGTGTGAATCCTTGCAGTCACGAAAGCTTCAAATCTAGAATTAACTTCACACATTAGTCACTCACTTGCTAACCAGTCGCACGGACTATTCAACTCTCACGCACATTAGCAAATCAATCACTCTCACACCAACACCACCACTACTTGTTTGTTGTAGTACAGAGTACAGAGTTAGACTGTTGGCCTTAATCTAAGTTGTCTTGTGGTTGTTGTTGTTTGACTTGCATCCCACTGGGATATTTGCACACAGCGTTGGTGTACGGTGCTTTCTTAGCAATATTTTGCTGTCTTTTCTTGGATTTTCTGTTTACACATCGTCACATAGTCACTTTAAGATGTTTTCTTGTTCATGTTTTTGTTTGTTGCGGTTGCACCCGATTCAAGAGCCGAATGGCTCACAGGGCTATACCAAATAAATTAACTTGAACTCTCCCCCCCTACCTCCACTGGCTGCCCCAAGCCATGGCGGCCGAGGCAGTGAAGGTGGTGGTTCGATGCCGGCCCACGAACGAACGCGAGAAGAACCTGGGCTGTAAGGTGGTCGTGAGCATGGACACGGCGCGGGGACAGTGCTTCATTCAGAAGCCCGGGTCCGGGGATGAACCCAAACAGTTCACCTTCGATGGCACCTACTTCATAGAGAGCAGCACGGAGCAAATCTACAACGACATCGCCTACCCGCTGGTCGAGGTATACCCCCCCCCCCTCATATTACAATGGCAATGTCTGATTAAGCATTTTTTTTTATTAGACAAGATGGTAAAGCTACAGCCCCGCAATTCATAATGCGAATATTTATTTTATACTGGAGAAATCCGATGAGCTATAAAGCTCTTTCTCACAGATGTCCTGTCGGGGCGTGTCAGAACGTTACAAGAAACGTACAAATGAAACAACTTAAAAAAATATTACCAGGTAAAGCCCGCTTAGCTATTAGCTTCTTTTTCAGAAGCGATCTGGCCACAAATGATATCTTAACGAAGTGGCTTGTGATTATGTGGAAATGTATAGCAGCACTAATATAATGTAAATACTAAATAATTGCTTGGACACGCTGCTGCTAGTGGAAGGGCCTCCACTTAAACGAGGTCTAAAGACGTCTTGGAAGAGGTGGGCATTGCCCACACTTTACCCCACCACACGATGCGATGTGCATATTTGCTAGTTGTTGTTGCGAGTTGGACAGACGTGGGAGGGATTTTAAAGAAACGTGTTCACTGGTTCAAGTGCCTCGTCACGGTGGTTTTAAAGGCAACCTCTGAATGGCAAGTCAAGGCGTTGCTAACCTTGAAAGCCCTGCAATGCAGAGCGATGGGTTTATAATGATAATAAAGTCTCGCGACCAATATTATCTATGAGAGTATTTTTTTGGGTTAGATCGCGTAAATATAAATGTGTCGTTCAACCCGCCACCACCCGACACAGCCAATTAGTAAGGTTTGTCACGTAAACAGAACGTAGCCAATCCGTTACTAGTACAGAGAGTAAACCCACAACATTCACAAAATCCACCTGAAATAGAATTTCTCCACAAAATCTGGCTGCCGCCTGATGATGCTAGTTGTAATTACTGGCGAAACGTCGTACTGGAATTGTAAATGTTGTGGGTTTACTCTCCAACACACCGATGTGCTGTACTAGTAATGAATTGTCATGTTTTGTTTACGTGAAAAACCTTACTAATTGGCTGTGTCGGGTGGTGGCGGGTTTAACGATACATATTTACGTGATCTAACCCAAAACAAACCTCTAATATGGCTAATAATACAGTGCAATAATATTTATCTAGGAAAACCTAATTGAGTTATTCATCCGAATCATAGTAATATTGTCGATTGTTCATTGTGCAGGCAAGCTTTGCTGATGAGAAATACTCTTCAGGATTTGTTAAGTCCGTGTGCTTGGTTTATTAAAATAAATACCAATTGTTTACACAAGAAAGCCTCATTGAGTCAAAAGTCGAATTATTCCTTTTCGGGAGGGTTCCTCCATTGTTTGGCCAATTCCATGAATGAATGGCATGCGAGAGGAAATCCGGCAACTCGCAGATAACCTCAATGCAGTACTGCCATCTCACTACCTCGCAGGACCACTTTTACAATACAGTCCCATGCAAGTCTTGGAGGCCACCCATCCAAGCACTAAACAGGGTCAACCTGCTTAGTTTCAGAGAAGCTATGAGCTCGGAGTTGATTTAGAGTGAATTGGTCACACAAAAGTGTTTTGAAACATTGTGCAATGAACCTTAAAATATTGTCAAAAAAGAAAAGCACATTTTGAAAAGGATTATCTTCTTACTATTCACAATAGGACCCTGGCATCAGTGCAAATATATTATATGTGCCTGTGTAAGTCTTGGCTCATTATATATATGGCAACTAATGTTACAAGGATGCAGACAGAACAAGCGCCACTTTATATGGCCAAGTTCATTGTGGTTTGTTAAGTTTCCTACCCAAAGACATTTCAAGAATACATTTTTGTTGTTTATTTTACTCCAGTGTGAGACTGAAGTGGCAAAAAATGAATTCCGTATTCAAGGGCTTTTTAACACTGTACGCATAAAGGACCAATTAGAGAAAGCTTGTTAGGGGCTGTATGGAGAGAACATGAGAAGGGTCAACTTAAAGCCCTCGCACAAAGGAAATTAATATCCCACCGGTGCCCCCTAAAGCAGTGGTGCAGCCTCTGTGGGTATCGTGGGAGTTCAGACATCCACAACATTTTGGACATGGCTACGAGACAACCACAACATTTTGGACAAAACAATCGTGATATTTTTGAGTCTGTGTTTTTCTCCCTTCAACAAAGCTGACCATTGCTGATTATGCTGATGATGGAACTTTTAATTACAGAGAAGCGTGTGAACAGTAGGCTCAATACTGAGTCCATAGCCATTGAATGTGGAGATTGTCATAATGCATTCTTTGTATTATAAGACTCTTTCTCATTGTATTTTAAAGCATTAGTTGGGGGTATGTCTTGACACTAGGCACACGCATAGAGTGCATCTTATTTTCCAGAACATCATAATTTGTGGAATATGGTAATTATTGTATAATATAACTCCTCTACTCCATGACCAAGTGGGGAGCGAAGTTTGTGGATACTATCTGCAATCTAAACAATAACCATCCGGAACCATACTCTAGCACAGTGGATCTCAACCATGGGTATGTGGAAATGTTCCAGGGGGTATAGGTGAGCTTAATATGCTTACATTAATGATGTTCGTTATTCATACATTTATTTCTCAGAACCATGTTGGGTGAGGAAAGGGGGTACTCGGTTGAAACAAAATTCAACAAGGAGTACAGAAGCCAAATAAAGTTGAGAACCACTGTTCTAGCAGAACACCCCCCTTTTTTTTCACGAGAACCGGCGACCTGTTGCTGCCTGCGGAGGGCTTCTCATCGCTTTGTGCCTCACTGATGTCCCCTTCTCTCCCCCCCCCCAATGTGTGCAGACACTACTGACTTATATATGTAGGGTGTGTAGGCATATGTCTACAAAATACATTATTTATTTTTGGATGGGGGGGTCGAAATTATTTGGAAACCTGTTGGTCAACTTTTTACCCCTATATCTGGGGGGGTCCACTTCCTATAACCTTTTGATTCAGGCCGTCTGAAGGGATCTTATAATTTAGTTGATGGACAAATGGAACACCGGGCTTTTATATTGATGTGTGGCTGTGACCCTGTCGCTAAAGAAGGTGGTGGTGTGTTCACTCCGACCAGGGCGTGGTGGAGGGCTACAATGGGACGGTGTTTGCGTACGGACAGACGGGCTGCGGAAAGTCTTTTACCATGCAGGGCGTATCGGAGCCATCTGCCCAGCGAGGCGTCATCCCGCGTGCGTTCGAGCATATCTTCGAGAGCATCCAGGTGTGTGCCTTGTTCTGGCTGCCATAGTCACGGTCATGGTCGTTGTCATCACCAAGAGCAATAATTCACATGTCGCACTTTAAGCAACAAAAAATAATTAAGAGCAAAATCTGGAAAAAGCTATAGGTTACATTGAGGATAGAATGGGGGTCGTCACCCATTTTGGGGCAGAGCGCGATTGCCAATTATAGTTTAGCCCTGACCTTAACCTTCCTTGCCCAGCGAACCGACTACTACTACCCCCTACCAACTAGAAAACTAGCCTTTCATTGACCCTAACCATAACCAACTCTCCAACTGGCCACTAGTGCTAGCCATCCTGCTGACAACAAGCCTATCAGCTGTTAACCCGTAATCCTACTCGTAATCGCACCTCTGGAATTTCGTCAGTGCCACTTTTAGCTTTTTGTAAATTTCAGTGGTGTTTACAGTACCTGTGTCTCAACCAAGTAAAGCTTGTGCATCACAGCAGTTTTTATTCTCAATTTGGTTATTTGTGCCCTGAATTTAAAGCAAATGTCAAGAGGAATAACTGCAATTGGGATATTTTTCATCGACAGCATCCACCTGGAGATGTGCGCTGCCTACATCCCTTGGCACTCTTGCTGCCTTGCCAACCTTTTCGCTTAACGTTTCGTTATCTGCCTTTGCTTGATTTTATGTATGTTGAACTTCTATCGCACCGTACGTCGCCAACCGTGCTAATCGGAGGTGCAGGGCTGAAGTACAACTGACTAAACACAAAAGCAGTTCCAAAGAAAAGATTTTTTAATCTAGATTTTAATTCCGCTGGGCGAGAGTCTGTTGACATCCATTATAACAGTAAGGATAGCATGCTGCATTAAATTAGCATTGCATTTAAAATACAATGCCTTGCAAAAAGAATCGGGCCATATTGCAGAGATGAGATTGTCAATTAAATGTGATGTGTCATTCGCGTTGGAAATAAATCATAGTTTTTGCCTTGCAGTGCGCGGAAAACACCAAGTTCCTTTTCCGAGCCTCGTATCTGGAAATCTACAATGAGGAGATAAGAGATTTGCTTGGAAAAGACACGAAGCAGAGGCTTGAGGTGGGTGAGGTGTTTGTTCATTCATACACACATCCTAATGCATGTGACTTTTTTTCTTCATGATATTAAATTTATTTGACTTTATGTAATATTCCACACCAAAATAATAACAAAAAAGATCTCAATTGATTTATTTTACAGCATTTTATGCAAACATTATTTACTGTTCATCATCATCACTATCCAACTCCGTGCATGTCATTGTCCTGCTTCCCTCTTTCTCACTTCCAATCACTTCCCCTCTACCCTCACCACAAAGTTTTATTCACAACCGCATTGCCCACTTATCTCACTTGTACTCCCACTTCCCCCTGTGCCACCTTGCATCCCCATGTCTCCTCTCCCCGTGCCACCGATCCCCCCTTGCATCCCCGTGTCTCCTCTCCCCGCCGTGCCACCAATCCTTGTTGCATCTCCCCCGTGCCTCCTTTCCCCATGCCAACCTATGCACCTGTTGTGCCCTTTGCATGGGACCCGCAGCTGAAGGAGCACCCCGAGCGTGGCGTGTACGTGCGCGACCTGTCCATGCACACGGTGCACAGCGTGGCGGAGTGCGAGCGCATCATGCAGGCGGGCTGGAGTAACCGCGCCACGGGCGCCACGCTAATGAACAAAGACTCGTCGCGATCGCACTCCATCTTCAGCATCCACCTGGAGATGTGCACCACTGGTATGGCAATTGCACTCCCATCTTTAACATTCCCTGGGCACTCTCGCGTTCTCCCCTTGATGTAGTTTTTTTGTATGTCATGTGTGGTTTGTTTTTCTGTGTTGAGAGTCTGTTGAGATCCGTTATTAAAGGATAAGTGTGATTTTTTCGTAAAAATTAGGCATCTTTGATTCTCAGGATTTGGCATGTTTTTGAAGTGTTATTCTTTATTTATCCAGGAAGGCCTCACTGATCTCAATACTTTTTCAACAGTCCTGTATTAGGATGTTGGGCCAGTTTAATTTAAGCAGTGCTTAGGCTTTTATGTGAGGAAACAGGAGTTCCCAGAGAAAACACGTGCAGACACGCAGATGACGGTCAAAAGTCTGCAAAGGCAGGTTCATGAATCTGCCTGTTGTACTGCCACCTTCTGGCCACCATATATCCCACTAGGTTTGGCACTCTCACATGTCTGCATGCCTTGCTTTCTTTTGCAAGTGCATCCTGTGTAGATAACATTTTATGAAATGTGCGGTTTTCTTTTTTCGTGTTAATTATGAGTTTCATTATTTCCCCACCAGTTATTTACCAATTGTCAGGCGAGTTTAAATATCAGTATGGGATTGACTACCGACACTTAATGAGTAACCACATTGTGAGATGTCAAAAGTAATCCTGATTCATAATTAGTTACTCAGATCACATGAGATAAATTCCAATGTATATCGAACTAGATAGATAATCTAGCTACTGTTGTACTATCGAGTTTGATGCTCATGACAAAGGGTCGATGTCCGTGACATATGCTTTCATGTGCAATATTCAGTGTCTCTCATGGAGAGTCTCACCTGGCTGATGACATTGTCCCACCAGCTGATCTGTTTTCTCCCTCTTCCCCTCTTCTCTTCCATTTCCCTCGCAGAATCATCCTCTTCATATCTCCAGCTGACCTTCTTAGGACATTGCATATGCCACCTTCTCTGTCATCAGATTTCTAAGTAATTGTTGCTTGTCGTGGTTTTGTAAAAAATAATGCTATCTCAGGACATCTTCAGTCTTATCACACCGGCTTACTTAGAGTCTCCTGAAAGACCGCATCTCAAAAAGCATTGTCTTTTCATCGCATCTTTCTGCACTTTCCATGTTTCATGGGCATATCCCACTGCACTGAACACTTATGCCTGGGTATACACACTGCTGTCACCTATTTAATCATAATTAGTACATTTGGTATTCAAGCCATTCTTCAAATGCAAGGGTACCATGTAAGTGTTATGTATCACAGACGAGTAGTCTGCCAGTAGGAGGTAATTTTGCAATGTCAAATTAAGTTATTTGCGAGTACCCTTTCTAGTTTTGAAATTTTGGACTGTGAAACAGGCCAGGCACGCACGGCCTACTGTTCTTAGAAATGTCATGCGATCTTTAACATCTGCTGTGAAGCAGATGGTGCATATTTTTTGCGTCAATACACTCGCAGTATTAACCAGGGTGACCGCAGAACTCGAACTCTAGAACTGCAAATACGCACTAGCGGCCATGTCCGCACCCCCCCCCCCCCCATTTCTAAGCTCCGCGCCTCGCAAAATGTAATCCCCGTGCTGCCATCTGCTGGCGCTGCAGACGATCAGGGCGAAGACCACATCCGCGCGGGCAAGTTGAACTTGGTTGACTTGGCGGGCAGCGAGCGCCAGTCCAAGACCGGCGCGCAGGGCGACCGCCTCAAGGAGGCCACGAAGATCAACCTGTCGCTGTCGGCACTCGGCAACGTCATCTCGGCCCTCGTGGATGGGCGCTCCAAACATGTGCCATACCGCGACTCCAAGCTCACGCGGCTACTGCAGGTGCGCCCCCCATCCCAAAATGGCCACTCTGTTTTAATTTGCTGGCGGTTTATTGAAAGATGCTTCATTTGTCCCATGAGTTCTGCTTACAAAAGAATCAAAATTCGGGCAAGCATTGAGCGAAAATACACCAAACTCTTGAAAAAGGTGATTGCGTTTTCAAAGTGCAGATTTGTTATTTGGGAGGACATGGCCTTCACCTTAAAAGCGGGCAAATCGCAAAGCAACGGATGTAATACCAGCGAGTTGTGCGAGTGTACGTGTTTGGACAAGGTGATGTAAGATAATGAGAATGCAGGCCATTCATCATCCATTGCAGTAAACAAATGACAGCTGGGAATGTGGCCATGGTAGTGTAACAGCGCCAAAGGCACTTTACCAGCATGAAGAATGGGCAAATTAAATCACGGGGAGGTCCACCTCATAAAGCAGTGGATTGAGAAATGGACGGCACATGTTCTAGGTAGGCATATATTGATTCGCCTGCGATTCATTTGTCAATTCAATACTCAATGTTTTATACATGTACATAACATGCGGATGACGGTGTAATCGCGTTGAAATGTTGATCGGTCAAAACAAAAAAGCCAGTCACCGATGCAGGGGTTTATTGAAGTCCAAACACAACTCTTGTACTTTAGATTATCCATGCTGCAGTCAGGACACCTGCTATGTTCTCTGTTGACGATGATGGTAATGGTGATCGTGATGAATTGCGACAGAAGGAATATTAACAAGGTTGACAATAACAGTACAATTGTATTTATATCGCGTATGAATTCAACTTCATATCAAGACGCTGTACATAAAAAGTGGGCACGTATTATTCGGCTATTAACACTCTGTCTTAGGTCGAGGTGAAAAACAAGGTCTTGTTGCTGGATATGAACAGGGGCAGGCAGTCAGCAGCATGGATGGCTGGGGGATAAACGTTACAAACTATGGGGGCAGCAGCGGAGAATGGGCAACCTCGCACTGAGCAAAGGTCGACTGGGGGCTTCCCACAGAAAGTCTTGCATGCTGGAGCAGAGTGTGCGTGGAAGCAAATCGAGTGAGATGAGGGTGGGGGAGAGGTATTCAGGGGCAATTTTACGGAGCAACTTGAAGACGGGGTGAGTGATCTTGAAATTGATCGGGATTGGATGGGGAGCCAGTGGAGTGATCGGGAGTGTTGAGACTGACGTGGCCTCGTTGACAACGTGCGATGGCGCTCGCAAGGACTCCCTGGGCGGCAACACCAAGACGCTGATGGTGGCGTGCATCTCTCCCGCCGACAACAACTACGAGGAGTCGCTGAGCACTCTGCGCTATGCCAACCGCGCCAAGAGCATCCGCAACCGCCCGCGTGTCAACGAGGACCCCAAGGACGCGATGCTGCGCGAGTACCGCGAGGAAATCACCCGCCTCAAAGCCTTGCTCCAGGGACAGGTTGCAGCTCCCGGCCGATCTGGTCAGAACCTGCACCCCCCCCCACCCTCCCTCCCCAACCCCCTCACACCCCAACCCACCCTCAGAAAACTCGAGCAAGCCTCCCTTATTCTGCAATGTATTACTTCCTTAAAATAATGTGGCTGCATATTACTGTGGCCTGCAAATAGTGTTTTTTTTGGGAGGGGGGGCGAGGATAACCCTAAAAAGTAAAAAATAAATTTGGCGGCAAATACAAAAAATGGGCGTATAAAAGTAAAAAAAATTAAGTGTGCAAAGTGATGGTGGTTTGTTGTTAGCTGTGGCTTCATACTGCTTAGACTTCACGCACAAGGCAGTCCCCCAGGCTAATACTGTACGGTGTAGTAACTACTAAGGCATTGTATTGTGCGTTCCAAAAGAGGTTTTCGTTGGTTTCATTGGTGGTTTTACCGTCTATTATATTGTAATATTTTGATAATGTAAATAACAGAAGTTGTAAATGGAATAATGTAGTATTCATGGACTTAATGTGGTTCTGTTTAGAATATAGATATATACCAGGTCACCCCACTCCTGAACCCAGTATTTCTTGGACATTCTGTAGTTGCATTGTCTGGATGGGCGCTGATGTGGTTCGTGCTTGACTCCAGAAACTTAGCTTTTCAGGTGCAACACTAGGACTGTATTAAGCTGTGAAAGCATAAATCATTCCAAGAATTTCCACTTGTGTCTTTAAAGCAGAGGCACCAAGAGCAAAGGAGGAAGTCATTGCAGCTGTCGATCACCAAGCTGAAATTGAGAAGGAAAGGCAGAAGATTCGACAGGTACGTGCCCACCGGCCATCTTTCCAGCAACATGTCCTGCCCATACCCATCTGTTTACTCTTTCTCTCAGTGTAATGCCAAGCATGCATCTCTGCATGCTTCTTAACACACTTGTTGCAGTTTCTTCCTCAGCATCCATGTCATAGCAGGTAATACACTGATTAGTAACTGTTCTTTAGACACCTTGGTATGGCTTTCCAAAAAAAGTACTCAATAAAATCTAACCACTTGCAGTAAATGCAATGCAGCATTATGCACGAAGGCCCTTTTCCCTCTCGCCTTGTGTAGCCCGTCCCCAATAATCCCAGGGCTCTCTTCCTTCCCCGCTCACCCAGCCATTCGCCACCTTTGTGCGTTTGCGTCTCATGACCACAATTTGGCCGGGCCCCCCCCCCACCAGGAGTACGAGGAGCGGCTGTCGCGCGTGCGGGGAGACTTTGAGGCCCAGCAGCGCTCCAAGGCACGCTTGGAGGAGGCTCTGGACACCCTGCGTGTCTCCTACGAGAAGAAGCTCACCACCGTGGAAGAGCGCCTCACCGGTGCGGAATGCCCTTCACCACTCAGGCCAGACCTCTCTACCTCCCCACTCAGTCACTCGCCACTCTTCCCAGACATTTACATCCACAATGGCTCGCTCACCACGCCTCTCAAACCTCTCTCTCTCCGTAAATACTCAAATCGTCCAACTACAATTTGATTAATTTTTTACTCATTTGTCAAGTTTATTTGATAATGAAAAATAGTTTGTTCTATCTCATTGTTCTATTACGTGTAAAGTCACATTAACATAATTGTACATTTTCATGAAACAATCAGTACTAATATGCATCATTTGATATATTAATCCTGATCGTAAGAATCTATTTTAATTGACGATTTATTGCATGCCTAATGAACATTAACAGTTACACCATTTCTAAAAAGAACACATGATTGAAGCCGTGTGTTTTCTGTGCGTTTGGTGATAGCGGTGGTGGTGCAAGCGGAGGTGAAGCGCGACCAGCAGGTCGAGAGGCCAGGCACAGCTGCCCCACGGGCGCTGACAAGCGTGGAGCGGGCGCTGCCCCAAGCACAGGTAACCGTGCGAAAGCTCAGTAGATGCTTCCTCAACTGCCAAGCCACGCCCTCCCCGCAGCTTTATGCGAAGCCTCTTGCAATAGCCAGTGGTAGAGATGAAGAGGATATGGGCACCTGGGGCGCACTGAGACCACGAGGGCTATGGGGCACAGACTTATGTCCCAATGAGGATAGGAGCACGTGCCTCACGATGATGTCAGAACGCGTTACGTCTTGTGACGCACCTGGTGTGACATCCCTTTGCACGGGGCCCAAATGGGTCTCAGTCCACGCCTTCCCGTGACTCACATTGGGAGTAATTGTTTACATTTTGAAGTGAACGTACAAAAATATGCAGATTTTTTTTCTAACAATGTATTTATAATTATAGTAATTCCATTACATGGCAGTGTATTGAGTATCCAGTCAGGTGACTCAGCTGTAGAGCTAACAGATTGTAATCGGAAGGTTTGCTAGTTCAATTCTGAGTTGTGGGATGACTCATCGTAAATAAGTACCACTTTGTTGGGAAGCCAACTGTGGTTGTTCTTGGAGTAGACTCTGCCCTTGTCATAGGAATGTGGAATTTCCACTGGTTCAGAGCTGTAAACAGTAGACAAGGGGGAAGTCACTGGCTTGTTTTGAGTATGGGAGGACACGAGTGCGCTGTGAAAACCGTGCCCGTCCATTCACTCCACGCGTTTTCTGCTCCCACAGATTCCGGACGTGCGAGCGGCCAGCGCGCAGGTAGCGCGTCACATCAACAGTGTGAAGAGCGTGGAGGAGCTGAGGGAGGGCACGCAATCGGAGGTAGAGGTGGAGGCAGAGGCTGCCGATCAGCCCAGCACCATTGCCCAGCTGGAGAAGGAGGAGGTGCTACGCAGGTAGGACCCTGGCAGGTACTGGAATGAGCGGGGGAGGCAGATGCAGAGCTTCTACCTTTTGTATGGTAGGGGAGGTGCTGCGCTGGCCAGATGATAACACCCTCGCCTGGTATGCACGAGACATAGGTTCAATCCCCATGCCTGTATATTTGGAGTTTGCATGTTCATCTTTCCCTTTGGTTTGCGTGGATTTTTTTCAAGTCATCTGGTTTTTCTCTCCACATTCAGAAACATACATTTAGAGTATTTGGCTGCTATATATTTCCGCATGATTAGCCACTTCGTTGATCTATCATTTGTGGTCCGGTCGTTTCTGAAATAGCAATATAGCTCAGTGGGCCTTAACTGGGGAAAATTAAAATTGTTTATAATTGAGTGATCAGCAACCTGAATATGCTTATGGCGTGTTTGAGTCGGTGGACTGCTTCAGAAGTTTCCTGGTGAATATCTAAAACAATGCCAGCAACTGATCTAAGCGGGCAGTTCTGTTTCTATGTGATGCACGGTTTGAGATTTAGTGACGGCAATGGCACTGGAGGAGATAGCTGCATCGGCTGTACATATGGTTCAAAACGGACCATTATTTGCGGGGTAATTTGCAAATGGAAGATCTCCCCTGGAGTTGGTGATTATGTTCTTGATAGCGTGGTTTGCATTGTCTCAGGTTGCTCTCTGCAATCCCTTAGCATTAAATTGGGGCTTGTGGTGTACATCATAATGCTGGTGTTTGTTGTGCTACTGCTGGTGCTAGGGTTGATAGCACTGGCGATTTTGGTGGTCTGGTAGTGTTGTAGGTGCCGGTGGTGATCAGCCCTTTTCTTGATGTTAGTTTACCAGGCCGGCTGTTGCGAGCACCGCCGTGCGTTTCTCGCCTCGCTTCCCAGGCTGAGCTCGCTCCAGCGCGACGTCGTGGGCGGGGAGCAGGCCCACAACCCCGAGCTGCACGAGCGGCGAAAGGAGCGCCGGCGCCTGGCAGACGAGCGGCACCGACGACTCGTGGAGAGTTTGCGCCTGGACCACGAGGCCGACGGCGAAGGGACGGGCGACAGCGACGAGGTGGTGATGCGCGTCTTTGACTCCATGAGGGACGAGGCGGAGGAGAAGGAGCGGCAGCTCAACAAGAGCCGCAAGAAGGTAAGGGGTCGGCCGCTATTTTGCCAGGTTCAAAATATTCCCTTTTTAGTGCGGCCAAGTTGTTTGCAGCGATAAAACATAATCCATCAGGTTTTTTGGGTGAGATCGCGTAAATATAAACGTGTCGTTAAACCCGCCACCATCCAAAACGGTCAATTAGTAAGGTTTTTCACAAACAAAACATACCAATTAGCTTCTAGTTCAGCACACCGGTGTGTTGGAGAGTAAACCCACAACATTTACAATTCGAGTGGCGGGTTTAATGATGCGTTCATATTTGCGTAACCTAACCCATAAAAACACTTACGGCTATTGATCACGGAAGCCTACGTGTTAAAAGTGATCAAACATAAATAAGCATTTGCAGAACCTTGTCAAGTTGTGACAATGCGCCATATGAAATGGAAGTTGTGGGCCGCCTGTGACCTGTGAGCCAGAGGTCTCCACCCTCGCTATATAAGAAACCACATTTCTACATCCGAGACCCATTCTGTACTTGGAACCGTCCCGTGGCACCGCTAACCGGGTTGCTCGGACGCCCGCGTGCCGCAGCTGCGAGCCGTGCAGGCGGACATCAGCGACATCCAGCAGGAGTTTGAGAGCGAGCGGCGCGACTACCTGGACACGATCCGGCGGCAGCAGCGCGAGCTGCGGCTGCAGCAGCAACTGCTGGAGCGCGTGGCGCCGTGCCTGCGGCGCGACTGCAACTACGCCAACCTGGAGCGCGTGCGCAGCGAGGCCACGTGGGACGAGGACGCACAGGCCTGGAGGCTGCCCGAGATGATCGTCACGCGCACCTCCCTGCCGCCAGGTAGAATGTGGCATGCACAGCCCTTTTGTAGCTCCACTGCTGGATGAGGGCTGTCAGTCAGGAAAAGGCCTCCCCCACCTTTACTAGTCAGTCCTCTGTCAAAGGACAATTTTTCCAATCAACTTGGCAGTGCTTTGTCTCACAATTGTCTTGTCAGCTCGGCATGTAATGATTCACGTATGTGTACAAGTACAGCCCTTTTGCTACCACTGTTAAATAAGGGCCTCCCTACGACCACAAATTTGGGAGACCATCACGCACTTTCAGATGCGCTTCTGCTGGAATGCTCTTCCTTGCCGATATTAGGAAGCTATTGGAGCGATGCACGTTTAAATTTTCTAGATTGAAAACTCGATTCTTTAGAACTGCCTTGTGTTTAGTTCGTTGCCCTTCCCCCACACCTCTGATTAACACTTGGCTTACATAGGGTGCGAAAGAAGTTCAACATACATACATCACGTAGCCTTGCAGGTTATGGGTCGCCCATCCAAATTTGAACTCTGCTCCTCTTTGGGGATCCGATAAGATCAGGCGCATTATGGGCAATGTGGTCATCGGCATGCAATGATCCATACCCTCCAGCAATTCGATTAACTTTTTGGGGTTATGACGAGATTTAAAAATAACTGAATGAATAACGAACGCACGATTAACTCCTGTGTTGAGTGCAGCCGGTGGCGGCGGTGCACAAGCCAAGCCCTCGCGTCGCACCCCGCCGCACGAGAACGGGAACCACCAACGCGTGAGAAGCGCACCTGTGGAGCGGTACCAGCATCACCACCACCCCCCCCTCCCACGTATCATCAGCAGGGCTACCAGCAGTAGAGGCCGACCGAAAGTTGGCAAATGGACACTTTCGACTTACTTTCGGTTTTGGCCGAAAGTCAATTTTTTACTTTCGGTCTCGTTTCGGCTTAAACTGATATTGACTTTCGGTCGTCAACCGAAGATCTATTTTTAGAATATAACGCTAGTGCTAAGTCTATCAGCCGGTCAGTCGGCGCTAGGCAATCCTATGTGATAGGCTGCATACACACACACGTCAGCAGCAGCTTGCGAGCGAGGTTACAGCCGCAACCATGGTCTAAACGTCCGTTTAGTACGTTTGGGTAGGTACAGTGCAAAAGAAGTTCAACATATATACATTGTCATGTAACGATTGATAATTTCTTACGTTAAGGGATCCCGATTTGATTCAATAATTATTTTGTCCAATTTCTATCGTCTCGTATTCTTTCAGTTTTGTTTGTAATATTTTTTACTCCGTTAGCCTAAGCGTAACCTTAGCACTACCAAATCAGCAGCACCACCCACTCCAGCGGCATCGTCATCATTACCTGCACTATTATCACCACCACATTGTAAAGGAGCTGCACATGAGCAGGCATATGTTAGTGATACTTATACATCTGGAGCACAAAATTGGCACCACTCTCTATGTTAAAGTTAAACATGCAGTGCTAAAATTGCTTCATTAGAGAAAGTTCCAGAGAGCCCTTTTAAAGTGGGTATTCTGGCCTACTCTTAACAGCTGATCAGGCATCTTACAAGACGTGGGAGGACCCACCACTTTCCCCGACAACATGTTTACGTCGATCGGCTGTCGCTTTCTCTGCCTAAACAGTATTTCTGCAAAAGTACACAACTGTCATTACTCTGGACTCTTGATGATTTCGAAAACGTGTTTTGGTTTGGCCATGTTTGTTTGTTGTAGTACGGAGTTAGACTGACCTTAATCTAAGTTGTCTTGTGGTTGTTGTTGTTTGACTTGCATCCCACTGGGATTTTTGCACACAGCGTTGGTGTACGGTGCTTTTTCTGCAATATTTTGCTGTCTTTTCTTGGATTTTCTGTTTGCGCATAGTCACTTTAAGATGTTTTCCTGTTCATGTTTTAGTTTGTTAGTTGCGATTGCACCCGATTCAAGAGCCGAATGGCTCACAGGGCTATACCTAATACATGAACTTGAAATGAACTTGAACTTGCTGTGATGAGATACTGGAATCGATTTGCTACTCACAACCGAACGAGCTAGAATAGACCGAATGGGCCACCCCTGTTGTTTTTAATCTTTCTTAACTGACAAAAGAGTCTGAACAACTCGCGGGCGGATAGTAGGGTTTGCGTGCACCTTTTAAGTTGCTTCTCGTCCATCCTGCTGTCTCTTCACCCCTACGCGTGTCAAAGGAGGACCGGTTCCTAGAGCGGCTGACGCGTGCCGAAGCCGAGGACGTGGCCGGGAACTACTTCAAGCCGCGTCGCGCCTCCCTGCTGCTTAACAAGGAGGCATCGCGCAGTCTGGGTACCGAGTCGACTCGCCGCGATATAATCCGTAAGAGTTTTTTTTGGGTTAGACCCGCGTAAATATGAATGTGTCGTTAAACCCGCCACCACCCAACTAGTAAGGTTTGTCACGTAACAAACTGATCTAACCCAAGAAACCTCTTATGGATAATATTGGTCGTGAAAGCCTTTGTGTTAAATGCGATATACTAGATATAATCCTTCACAATACGACATTTTTTTTACGAAATTGTATATATTTCTCCAATATAAGTTTTGGGAAAACATCTATGACTATGTCAGGAGGCAGCTGATTTCAAACTCCAAATTTAAATCTTCTTGGTTCTTTCGGTCAAGTCACGTAGAAGGGAAATAATAAAATAATAAAAATAAAACAATAAAATAATTCTCACGACGTTTCGGCCACAACGCAAGCAGCCATCCTCAGGCGAAGAACAGGTCTGTCGGAAAGACAGCGTCTGAATGGGCACCACCAGGCTTGGCAGCGTATATTTAAGCTTAAATCCAAATTTAAATATGAAAACGTTTCTCTAATATACTGTTTGTGTAAACTCCGACACGCCCGCACACACACAGCTGGGCATGGGCACAGTGCTCCAAGCATCCCAGTATCCCCACTCTCTGGGCCGCTGGGGCTCTATCCCCAGCCGGGACCCCTCGAGCCACCCCCGAGTGCCCGGCCACACCGACTCGGAGCCCTCGAGGGGCCTCTGCCACTCACCGCCCAGCGGGGGAAGAAGAAACAGAACAAGCCGAGTCCGCACGGGTGAGACATCCGTACACTCATGAGCTCGCCAACACGCAGGCTTGGCACACGGGCCTGCATATAAATTGACACACATAAGATAATACACGGGATCTCAAGAGTTTCCATTAAGTAGTAGTTGAATTGAGATGGATGGGCGAGGTGGTTCAGAGGTTATAGAGAACTGAGCTGGCACCAGAGGCCCTGGGATTAAATCGGGTTCTCACATGTCGTGAGTTTATGGGCTCAGCTCAGACACTGCTTATTTAATGATAAAAGCGCAATATACATTCAAGTTGTACGACTGTGTGTGTGTCTTTTGTCCGCATCAGCAACTCAGAGGAAATGGAGGTACCTTTCTGAGGAAACGTGACCAAGAGGCCTGGACCTGAAACGCCGGTTACGTGGCGTGTACGCGTGTACACATGTACGCGTGTACCAGCGTGGTCATACGGTCAGGAAAAACACTACCCAATACGAGCCCTGCAACACATTCATCTTCCTATATAAAAGATAGAGAAAGATGAGCTCCTGCAAGATAACGTGTCTTATTCATTAAAAGTCAGTGCTGTTACAGCAGGGTAATGTCAACATCACCTGTGACCAGCACACTCTGTAAGGCTAGAGGAGCATACAGCTGGAATCCAGTATTTTTGAGGCAAGAGCTGGCAGACTGTGGATTTGTTAAACTCTCTTCACCCCGCTGCTCGGTGGTCAGATGGCAGCACTGTATGGGTTTGTTTATGGCGACACGGTGGCAAGACGGTAACTACCTCGCCAAGTATACAGGAGGTCTTGGGTTTGATCCAGACCATGGTATATTTGGAGTTTGCATATTTTTCCCCGTGATCGCATGGATTCTTCTCTGGGTCCTCTGGTTTTTCCCTGTCTGTGTGGACCTATCTTTTAATTGTATCCCCTGTCCAGAAACTTTGGTGTTTCCCACACGCAAAGGACTTGGCCAACGAATCGTTCCAACACAGGATCCTTCTGAAATACATTCTTGAGAGGCTCTTCAGGATAAATATGACAACTGATGTCATAATCTAGTTTAACAAATACGAATCTATTAAAAAATATATATTTATGATAAAGACTGTTTGCTGTAATATTGTCTTAATTCTACAGAATCTGCGATTTGTTAAGTGTGTTAATCATTGCCTTCAAAACACAAAATGTTACTTTCTATTTGACAAAAGCTCGCCATGAAGATGAATCTTTATTTTGTTATTTATATTTAAAATTGTATATTGATGGGTTTATAGAATTGTAATCGTAACGGAGGCTACTTTGGACTTGATCATACCAATGTGGTAAAGGCCAGTGTGTAAGTGCACACACTTTACTGGGGCTAGATTTCTAATTTTCAAATTGGGTGTTGCATGACCTCAAGATGCCACAAAGCAAGTATGCTCCCTTACAGGATGCATTGTACCAGATTGTAATACTTGTTTTCTATAATATCCAGAGGGCCCAAGAGCAGTTACTTAAATGTTTTGACCAGAAATGCCACATTTGACATTCCCACCAAAAATCAATAAACACCTTTTTGAACTAGTTAAACATTTATTTTGCCATCAATTGTATGCGCTTTGACTGCACAATGCAAAATGTGGCATTTGCATAATTGCATTCCATAACTTTTCCACTGGTTGGCCATTGGAAATGAACAAAAGTAGTGCTGGAATTTCCAATTATATAAATTAATGGATTACTGTACACATGTTTTAATTTGAATAATCAGACAGCATGTAAAAAGTTGGAAAAACATTCTCACCCTTTGGTACCATCTGTGCCGCTGGACGGGAGGTGGTGAGGGACAGAGCTTGGGTGATGTCACGTGGGGTGTGGCAACCGTTTCTCACCTTCGGGAGGCAGAATGTCAGGGCGGCCGCTGTTTTTTAAGGGGCCAGAGGAGTCAATCACAGAACAACAGTCACAATGTCAAGTCGATTAACATATTGAATCAACTTGTCATCCAGTCATAAACAGCGATGATTTTTTAAAATAAAAAAAACCTCTAATGGATTTTGTTTCAATTCGGTGTAGTTAGGTTATAATCCAGTGATGAATTGGGAAAACAAAGATCTCAAACCCCATGATTCATTGCACCAAAACTTGTAGTAGAGTTTATGACCATGATAAATCTATGAAAGTTGTTGGCTTTTAAATGTATGCAAATAACATACATTTGCATTTTTCAATGTTGTGTATGACACAACTGACTTAAGTTCCATTATCGCATGAAGCCCATGATATGTTATGCTCAAACTTGTAGCAAGGTTATATTTTGGATTCTGTTAAAGTTTAATAGTTTTGTTCATGTATTTGACAATTTTTTTCAACATGCACCATGTAGCAAAAGTGTGTACAAATACAAACTAAACTAAGTTACAAAACATAATGAAAATGAATGCGTGTATTTGTTAACCAACCTGTGATATTGCACTTCTGACTTTTTTTCATAATATAAAGTTACTTAGAATGATTATGTAATTATGCTTCATCCTGAAAGATGTAACTTCTGGTCTTTGTCAACATCTAGAATTCTCTGAGAGAACTAGAGCAATTATAAAGTTAAATTCCCAACAGTGCACATTTCAGACAAGTACTAATATACCAAAATTGAATGCCACATCAAGTTTGAGGATAATACTTCATAGGATTCGTGAAATGTCATTTCCACTTTGAAGTTTTGAAATGCGTAATAAAATTACCATATATATTAAAAAAACTAAACTTTGGAAAATCACTGCTGGGTAAGCCAACTCCTCCAACTTTTATCTGAATAAATAATCGGGTTTAAGATATGTTGGACAACTTAGTTCATCAATCCCTTCCAAGAAAATTTAATGAGCACTATTTCCGTATACATAAAAAAGTTTTTATCGAGTTACAAGCAGCTTTGCAGTAAAACAGCAAACATTGATAATGAAATAAACGTTCCGACTAATTTATCAAGCTCTTTCAAATTAACATTCTTTATTAGATATGTCAAATCTGGTATAGTTGTTTTTTTCTTTCACCTGTTTGGAATAAAAATCAGTCTTGCTCCACATCTGAACACACGTCGGAAAGCTACACAGCACCACTCCGAAAACACGCATAAAGTCTGGAATTCGGGGAAATATGTTTAAGTGGATGCCAGTTGCCAATCTTTGAACACAACAAAAAGTGCAAATGACCCACTGATATGACCCCTTTAAAAAAATGATTGCACTTGTTTTGTAGGATATCTGAAAATGGAAAGTAAATATAATATAAATTGAAAATAATAAAAGCAAAAAACCCACGATGTTTTGATCGCAACACAAGCGGTCTTCATCAGGCGGAGAAAAAAGAGGGGGCAAAGCCTCCAAATGCAACTGTTTATAAGGGCTTTATTATTTTTCATTTAATTTATTATCTATTATTTTTATTTTCTATCTACGTGACTTTACCCAAAGAACCAAGAATATTAATTCCTGCAGTCATGAAAGTTTCAAGTCAAAACTATCTAACCTCTCCATGTATCTTCCCCTTCTCCCTCGTGTCTTAGTCTGCCTCTCCATATCATATGCTCATGGTGGGGGATTGTTGTTGCTGCCCCACTGCTCCCGTCCCCTGCATTCTCCTTCCTTTCCGCCCCACTGCGAGCATTGGTGAGCCATGTGAATACGCTGGCCTGCGAAACTCAAAACTTAAGGCTACGATTTTGTCACGGTAATCACGGTAATTTAATGTGAAATTCACAGCCAAGGTGAGGCATTTAAAACATGCGTGGCACTTCCTGTGTTTATATCCCTGTCTGCCCATCTGTCTCAGTGTTTCTGTGGATCTCTGTAATTGTGGGGGTGTATTATTATGTATGTCTCCTTGGCTCTGTGTGAATTTCCATGGGTCAATTGCTCCTGGTTGTTAGGGCAGGTTATTTTTTCACCCCAGTCCAATCCTGGAAGCACTTAACTTTGTTTCAATAGTTAATTCCAAAACTTTACAGTTCGCATCCAAATTCATGAATTCCGTGACCACCACCCACTACTTCTGTTACAAAATCATGGCTTTATGAAAAAGCTTAAAGATTGCATAAGGCTTCGTAATCCTCTGCTCCTTCTAATTGGTCAAATATGTATTTCAAGGCAAAGCGAATATTTGAAGCACCGTACAATAAAATGGGGCAGGTACATCCTCTATTATTTAGATATGTCAGTATTTTGTAAGACAAGCACTGCATGGTGCATAAACGTAAGTAAATATATTTCTTAAAATCTATAAGTTATGCTCTATTTATATTCACATGGATCAGGCTATACGCCATGTGACTTCATCGCCAGAGTTTAAAAACTCGAAGCGCGAAAATGTGAAATGCACAAAGATTTTTATAAATCAATTTAACATAACATGTAACTACTGTGCCTGTTGATTTCTAAGTAAATTGTAGAGTTGTCTGGAGTAAAACTGCTAAACGTTCGAATAAAATGATTGAAGTGCTCCTTTGCCAAGTGCATCTTTGAAACTGTTTAAATATTGAATGTGTTGTTAAATAGATTAGTTTATGCCACGTGAATTGAGCTGTTCGTCAGCTGTGGAAGACTTAAGCAGATACATTTATACCAAGTCATTGTTTTAATTAAACAATGAGACTCAGTTTGCACCATCCTCGACACTTAAATATTGTAAATGTTCGCCAGTGTGCAATCACTAAGGTATGACAGAAAGTTATCTGTGCACTGTCACATAACATGCCGTGCCCTACGATATCACTGCTTGTTACGCGCTCTGTGGCATTACACTAAAGTTGAATCTCTTTAAGCCACAGTGAATTTTGCCTATGACCTAATCACACGGAATGTACGCGATCGCATCAGAGCTTGGAAGCTAAGCAGGGCTTTTCAGCCTTAACGGTGCTTGGGTGACGACCACGCTTATCAATGGGGTCATCACAAAGACCACAGGGCGACGTTGTGAGAAGTAGAGGGCAGTGCAGCAAACTCCATCGTTGCGCTGTGCGTCTATGCTCCCTGCCACCAACCCACCGTAATAACTACAACGCGCGCGGCACAGCGAAGGCCCTCATCCAGCAGTGGACTGATGGAGGGCCGCACGTGTTACACGCACGTGCAATCCCGATACCCGTACCGGGTAGTCAACGAGTTTGTTGGGAACGAGGGTGAGGGATGCTGACCTTACCGAAAAATTGGTGAGTCGATGCGCAGTGGGGGGCCCTCTTTTGACGACATCCCGTTGTGTTGGCAAGCAGCACGTAGCACAGACACGTCGAAGTAATGGGGGGCAAGGGGGGGGCCCGGGGAGACCACGTGAAGGATGTTCCGTTGTCTTGCCCCTCCAGGGTGGTTGGGGGTTGATGTGGCGAGATGGGTTGAAGTGGTGTTTTCAAAGTTGGGGTTCTGAATTGAGTCTGGAGGATTCTTTGCCCGAGATTGCTTAAAGATGACGATGCAATCTCTTATTGAATGCGCGCACTCACATTTAAAGCATCCGAAATTTTTGCTTCATCGACAACCTTCAAGATATAGGCTCGTTACACACAAGTAAAAAAAAGTACGGACAAATTGTAGAAAAACTGAAAAAAATTATTTATTATTTTCTTGTACAGTCTGTTTCTGATGCAAGAAAGTTTATTTTAAAATGTAACACAGACCACTGTTAACATTATGAAACAATGCTATGGTAAATACTTTACTCAAAAATATACTGCATAAGCATCCTATAGATTCGTGTTTAAGTGACTGCTACTACTACAACCGGACATTCTGTTTCATCACTGGCATGACGCCAGACTACCTACCGCATACGGGAGTTGAGATGTTTCAAACATACTTCCTTAAAAGAAGTCTATATCATCAGGAGCATCCAGGTCTCTGTATTCAATGATAGCTCTTGGATCGCCCCTGGGTCCTCTGCAGACATAAAAAATAACAGCCATATGTATTCATCTGCTGTGATGTTTGCACTGGCAAAAACAAACTGCCCTATTTCCCAGGCTATGCAATCCTATCACAGACTGGGAATCTCAAAAAGGCTTAAAAACAGCCATCAAATCAGGTGGATAAAAATGCCCTTTTGGGCGGCATACGTTGGAGGGCTTTTTTAAATCTGTGAAACAGTACAAGTGTCCCGTCTTTGGTGGGCAGAATCGCTAACACGCAACCCTCGTCACACTTTCCGTAATGCACCAACACATTCTTAAGCACAGGTGACCGGTGTTAAACAAGTGCAAATTCTCACGAAGCAAAAAGAGCGAACCAACGAGTGAAATTGTACAAGACGACAACTTCGTTTGTAAGTGCACCGAGGATCACAAACGAGGACATTACAAAAGAGGGTTAACGTAAAACACGGATCTGCGCGCCCGTAGAGTTGTTTTACATGAGTTGCGATTCGTACCGGCCTCGGGGCTTCCCAGGGAAACCGACAGCTTGTCCCCGATAAGGATCATAGCCACCTCTTCCGGCGAACTGAGGAGGGTAGGGCGACGCTGTGGGAAGACAGAGGAGCCGACGGCATCATTAACAACACTGGTGCCTTGGTAGAAAGCCAGCTCAAATACCCAAGAAGTTTTAAAATTATTTCTTATTAAAACAAAATACCTATTTGTTTACTGCTATGTTTAGCCACATGAAGATTTTAAGATAAGTGTGGGTTAATTCTATGGCCCATGGGAAAATTAATTTCAAAGCCACTCCGAAACATATAAAATATTTATCACTCCATCATAGCTGCACTAGAGAGGGAGGCATATTTTCGATTCGGCAACAGGGTTTCTAATTTTATCATGCTTGGCCACATCTGTCATTTATTCTTTGGTCCGAAAGATGTATACTCTGATGTCACTGTGATACAACCAAGCTGAGCATTCCAGGGCTTACTTACCTCCGTAACCCAAAAGGGGTGGCCTTGGCTGCCCAAATCCCATCATGCCTTGCTGCGGGTTTCCTGGAAAGCCCATGTTAGGACCCATTCCTATGGTTGGAGAAGAAAATGTACAATTGTATTGCATCGCATAATTTCACTTTTTATCACCAGTCATGTCATGAATCAACTGTATTAACCACTAGCTTTACTACCCGGCTCCGCCCGGAACTTGGATTAATTTCATATTCCCTTATATTGATGCCTGCAAGAAAGAAAAAAGCCGAAACAAATCCATTTTACTAAATGGAATGTTTTTCACTCAACGAAAATCAACCTTAACCCACTTATACGTAAGCTCGATTTTGGCAACTTGGGAAGGGAATGACGTGGCGAGCTGAAATTAGTCGCGTTTACTTAGAAATTCCAGACAACATAAGCTGTACAAATTTCATGACGTCAGAGCTCAGCGTTGGAGTTTTTGCCGCTTCACACAAACAGATGTATTTTTTGCTTTATATTTAAGAGCGAGCTGAAAATAGTTGCGTTGACTTCGAAAATCGAGACAGCTACGCCGCGCATTTGTGCGGGATACACGGCCAAAGCGGAGGGTTGGGGGGTGGATGCGTGACGTCAGCAGGCACACTACGTGACGCTGCCGCATGCGGGTAACATCACAGATGTGACGTCACCGCTCACTTGCCATGCAATATATTACATCCATTATTGCGCCCCTTCCCAAAAACAAAAGTCTATGTTTAAACTTTTTGCATTGTGTACAGTCTGGAAATTACCCACATGCCAAATTTCAAGTTTTGTAGCATGTTGGCAAGTATGCAAAACATTTAGAACAGACACACATTCACACATTTCCCTTTTATATATATAGATAAGGATAGGAGTTTGCTCCTCTGTTCCCTCCTGTGATTCGATGAATTGTCAAAATTCAGAATTAACGTCATATGGAGCCTTTCATGACCAATATGATAATGAACGAATTAGTTTCTCTTGGGTTAGATCGTGTTGGTAAAATGTTATGTGTTTAACTATAACCCTCTACCACCCGACAGAGCTAATCATATCACGAATGATTAGGCATTTCACAAAAACTAGAATGTTGAAAAGCGAGCTAAGTTTTTACAACTTTACACGACATTTCAATGGAGATGTCATTCAGCATCACCAGGCGTTCACACAATCTCAGCTTTCGTGTTAAAAAGCTTCCTGATCTGAGTCAGGGTTGCGATTAAGATTCAAGCCTCACGTTAATTTAATCATGGCGGCGAATTTCAGTGCCTCTCAAGTGACGACTACGACAACCACTTTGCGCCAGTCGAGACGTCTCGTTAAAAGTATGACGCCTCAACTCTCGTTGCCACAACTACATTCCCAGCCACCCCTTCGTGCATACAAGGCTGCGGTTAACGATGCAGTGCGGCTGCTGGTGAGGGGTGCGTGCAGAGGAAGGGGGGGGTACCGTGCAAGATTGGAGCGGGCGCGTGAGCGAACGAACCCGGGGAGCTGTGCACGCCAGGGGCGGGCGGCCCCGCATTGGGCGGCTGCGTGGACTTGGACTCGGGTGGCCCCGGCCTCTTCAGGTCCATGAGGTAGTTGTTGAAGAAGCCCACCTCTCGCTGCACCTCCCCCAGCTTGTCCGCGTGCTTGTTGAAGATGTGCTTGCGCACAAACTCGGGGCCCTGCCGGGCGGCATAAGCGGTCAAAGGTCAACGCGTTGCCCCCACCGCGGATTGACGAACGCCGAGCAGTGCAACGAGTCTTCGCAAGCCCAGCTAGGTCATTGTTCCGCTGCTGACTTATGCGGTTTATCCTCTCTCGATTATCTTATTCATAACTGATTTTCGGGTGATTTGATCTGGTCATATTTCTGCTGCAAGGCCCTCCACCAGCCAACAAGGCCAAAACATTTTAAATTGTTACATGTACAAAGCGTTTAATGTGCCAATTAACCATTTGGGGGGGGGTGGGGGCCTTTGTGATTTTCTCCTCGTGTGAATGTTTTCTCCAGGAACTCCATCATTTCCTGACACACCGAACAAAACACTCCTTCGAATGACAATACACAAAACGAGCCCGCAGGTAAATATCTACATGTTCACAAAGTGTCCCCCCCCACCCCTCCCGGGGCCGAAACGAAAGCGGCACTTACCTTGAATTTCTTTCCGCTGAGAGGGCAGAGCCACTTGTCCTTGCCGAGCTCCTGCGTGTTGCCCTGGACGTACTTCTCCACCTCCTGTTCTGGGTCCTTCTTGCCCATCTTGATGGCCTCCTCGGGCGTGGGGGTGTCCCGCGCGTTCAGCAGCGGCGCCAGCCGCTCCTCCTGCTGCCGCTCGTACTCGGTGACTGCAAGCGGGGAGAGCGCGCGCGCACAACGTAATATACGCGTGTGCACACATGCATTATTGTACACAGACACATGACACACACGTTACTACATACACATACACCAGACAACATGGGCACATACACACAGATGAAAAGTGCACAATGCACACGCACGTGGACATACAAACACGTACGCACGTGTGCCAGTCCGCCGAACGCCACGCATATCGCGACATGCACTCACCCTCGTTGTGCGTGGCGCGGTTGGTGGGCAGCGGCCCACGCACGTGGATCATGCCGCAGCGGTTGGGCATCTCGTCCTCGTTCTGGTACTCGCACGCGTTGTAGTAGTCCACCGAGTGCACGATGCGCAGGTACAGCACCAGCCGGTCCAGCACCTGGGCGCGGGGCGTCGAGGGGTCGAGGGGGTCAGCGTGGGGAGAGGCGGTCAGTGTAGGGAGAGGCACGTGTGTACACGCACGGCGCCCTCTTGTTCATCCACTGTTGGGATGAGGGCCTCCCCACCTCCCCCATGCCAGATGCGAATCTGGTAACTTCCCAGGATGAGGGGCAGTCCTAAAATGTCAGTTTTTTTTAAACGAGTGACCTAGATAAATTCAAACGGCATTCAATGTTCTGGTAGATATCAATAATCCACATGTTTTCAGGTTCTCAATGGAGGGGCACAATAAGCCCCACGCCATGCGGGAGCGGAAGGAAGCTTTATCTAACCATACTTCATCACGCTGGCCAGTGCGGATTGAGGGCACGGAGATGTGCAGCAGTAGAATACATTGATTTGAAGCTTTCGTGACTGCAAGGATTCATACTCTCAGTTCTTTCGGCAAAGTCACGTAGGTAAAAAAATGAAATTAATAAAAATAAAACAATAAAAATCACGACGTTTCGGAGCAGCAAATCTGGCTGTGACGGTCCCACCTGATGACGGAGACTTGCGTTGCCTCCGAAACGTCGTGATTTGTATTGTTTTATTTTTATTAATTTCATTTTTTTACCTACGTGACTTTACCGAAAGAACTAAGAGTATAGTAGAATACATTTTGCTGCATTGACCTCTGCTGCCCACCGCATCTCCCCGCAAGCCTGTATCAACAACCTGTGCACGGCGGTCGGCCAACAAAGCACCGACTAGACTCGATTCTGTTCGATCCAATGAGACCCGGGTGACTATTTCGTCGTGAGCGTTAATACGAGTCGAACAAAAAAAACGATATTCGTCGGCTCTCAAATAAACTCCGCAACCTTCATCGCGACGGGGAGGAGGGAACGTTTACGTGGCTTGTGCCGGCGGGCAAGGCTGACCTGTAGTAGCTTGCCATCCCTCTCCAGCGGCACGTCGGAAGTGCTGTCCTTGGGCTCGTCCGAGCCCGTGATGGCGTTCCCAAGCAGCTCGTCCTCTTCGGCGCTCACCTCCTCGATGAGGTAGTCCGTGATGTTCTTGAGGATCGGGTTTTGTGACGAAAATGGCTGTGGAGCACACAAGTGTGTGTGTGTGATGATTGTGGGAGACATTGTCAAGGTGGAAAAGCGATAAAAACTTAATTTGTTCTTTTTATAACGGAATGTTTGGAATTTGTGTTGAATGGGGAGGGGGGGAGGAAACGAGTAATTAACTTTGTATTAGACCCAGTAATTGTGAAATACATTAAGTGAATGGTTAACTTAACACGCAGATTTTCGCAGACACAATTCTGATTTGGTCCGATCATTACGTGGCCTCACCCAAAAATCCATTATGAACCACACAAATTAAATGTTGCCTTAATACTTGGCACTTTCGATAACTTGAACTTAGCTCATTAACAATGCATTGTTGAACACCAATGATTCAAGGAAGCCCAACTCGTTTTACGAGACACCGTACATCAAACCCGGTCCAGAGTTTGCCTTGTGTTCAACCTAATTCTGCTGAAATTATACACTCCCAGAAGGCCGTGCAGTTGATGAGATGTTTCAAAAAGTACTTTTTTTTACAAAGAGGTGAAAATAATGGGAAAGAGATGTACCGTCTATTTATTATGTTACATATATTCTCCACAATGACGGCAATGATTATTTTTCCAATTGACATACATCAATTTCACTGCCTCCTCAAAAGACTAAAAATCCCCGTATAGCCTTAACAGACTGTTGGGGCAAGTGCTGTTATCGAGCACCTATGAAGGCCGGCACGGCACACGAGGGGGTGGGTGGCCAGCACCACGCCCGGCCACCTTTGTCTCCGTAGTGGCGATGTTTACACACCGCACAACGTACTCATTTGAAGCTGAGTCGACCTAGAGGAGGGTCCAGGACCGGTTCAGATAATCGTGACTGGTGTCGGCCGTGAGCGGCAATCAAACTCGGGTCGCCGGGTCCGTCGCGCAGCACACTGACCGCTAGACCACCGCTCAGCACACCCCTCCACCACCCCCACACCTTTTCCACGACAAAAAGGTCTCTCTTACCGCCAAGATGTCGGTGTCCTTGATGGGCTGGGTGGAACTCCACAGCTGCGCCTTCTGGTCGAGGGCTTGGATGAGTTTGGCCGCGAGGCGGATGTCATTGCGCACGACGGGCTTGTGCTGCGTGATGCCCTGCACGCCGCGGACTCGCCGCGCCAAGTCGCGGTTCACCACGGGGCTCAGCTCGCATTCCCGTAACTGCAGGGAGGAGATTCCGACGACGCCTTAGTTGTAAATTATCTTTTTTTTTTTGGTCAGGATATAGTTTTCTTCTTCTCTTAACCACGTGCGTGAAGAGTATTTGGCTGCTACAATTGTCCACGTGAGAAGCCACTTCGTTGGGCTATCATTTGTGAGCAGGTCGCTTCTGAAAAATTGCTTTCTATAGCTCAGTTGGTCTTACCTAGTGAAATAAATTTTTTTAATTTTAAAAAATCCAAGTATATAACACAAAAGTTGTTACATGTGACTGCATAGCCATTTTCTGCATTCCACCGCTGGATGAGAGCTCTCACTAAAGGAAAAGTTCCCCACACCCCTGCTGCTATAGAACAGTCACTGCATGAGAGAATATTCCATTGACCTGAGCAGCGCACACTCTCATTGTCATGAAATGACTCAATGTACGTGAAGTCACAAGAGCCCTTTTGCCAATCCGCTACTGGGATGATGAGGGCCTCTCACACACCATGAGGGTTCACGAGGGTTACACGACCATACTTCACCACACCGGTTGCTGTGCGTTTGTGAAGCTGGGGAGGAGCGTAGATGCAGGACCATAGTAAATTACAGAACAGATGTTTCTGCGTTTCCCTCTGCTTACAATGTAGCCCCACAGCAGCCGACAATACCCTACCCAAACACTATCCATACTCAACCCTGCTTAGCTTCCGAGATTTTCAGCGATCGGGCGCACCGCCCCACCCTGGGATTCGGTCACAGACGTATAGGAAGTATGCAATCTAAAAATGCTCGAAGCCACAACAGCGATGACGTACCCGGATATTCTGGAGGCTCCAGCAAATCTCTTTGATGTTTACGCTGCGCTCAAACGTCACCCAGCCTCGCCTGTAGAACCTACGGTGACAAAGACAACGGCAAACCTCACAGTTTAACACCGTTCATTACTGCAAGAGCAAAGAATCACATGGCAGCACCTTGCTAAAACTGTTATGGCATTTAAAATATTCGGTGAGAGCATGAGAGCATTTTGAACATTCACCAGACTACTGAAGCCGTCCACCGATTTACCAAACAACCACACATCGACCCATATGAACGCTGGTGATCAATTTCCCACAACGGGAAATAAGAACAAGCACTGCAAGGTACAACACTAGGCATGACATGGTGGGTCAATAACATCTATTAAAACAGATTATCATGGTTACGATGCACGCATTGAACCATGTAGTATAGGTTTTTACCTATTATAGTAATAAAAATCTATTACTATATTTTGCCACTGGTAAAGGAGGTCTCATAGTGTAACTGAACCATGTGTTTATGGATTATTTTGTATAGGCATATGCTATTTGTAAATGACACCTGCAGACACATTTAGAACGATGGTAAAAAGATGCAGTACTCTTTAAATCAAATTACAAGACTAATATTTGTGCATAGCAATAGATTTTTTAAAATATATATGCTTAGAAAATGCAATGCGAATGAATACCATAATTAATAACATTTATTAACTAGAATTATTTCAACGGTAAAATAAAAAATTGTTGAGCAGGCTACCGCAATCAACCAAGCGCACGGCCAAATCAACTTCACACACACAATCACCAGCACTCGTAATTAGCAGTAAATGTTCAAGTTACACAGATTTCTTGCATAACTTCACGCCTGGCACAAGTTTAGTGTGTCTTACACTCCAGAGCTAATTACAATCCGGAGAAAATACGGTGTTAGATTTTTCCCTCTTTGGGGCGGTGCCATTGATGAACGTGGCTAAGTTTTGTTATTTGAACTTGCCGAGGCCATGCTGCATTGACGGAGCAACACGCAGAAGCAGATGTGCCCCTGTGGTCTAGAAGAACAAGGCGCATTAAGGAATGAGCGACAGATATATGAAGGAGAGATATTGTCCAGCGTGTCTATTTAGTTTTCGGACGGCACTCTATGTCGCAAGCAAGCCGTACCTTCGTTCAATCTGGGGGTCTGACAACGCGACTCGAACGAAGCCTGGGTATCGGCGACACAGCTGTGAACAGAGAGGGTGACGACCGTTGTTGTTAGCTCAATGCACGCAGGGAGGGTCTGAGAGTGATGGCGACGCTGCGATAGAACGTACGATACAGGGTCCACGATTATCATATTGTCCGGTTTTTCTAAACATCATTGCGTATCTTACTTCGTGAAAAAATATTTGTGAAATCACAAAACACAATAATTTGAGTTTTAAATATCTATATTACCCATTTAACATGCTTGGTTTTCTGCATCACAAATAAAGGCAAAATGTGAAGCAATTTATTTCATTATTTATTTCTGGTCTAATAGTTAAATCTGTAGATTTCAATTAGGCCGCATTTAATATTTTTAAAGTAGGACTTATTTTACATCGTACGTAGCCAATTGTGCTAATCGGAGGTGCACGACTAAATCAAATGAAATATTTTACTGAAATTCCACAGTTTTGTCACCAACTAGTCCAAAACTAGTCAAGAATCACCACTGCCCTACGCACACCACGCCGACACACGGGTATAGCTCACGACAATCGGAGCGTCGGGAAACTGCTGCATCGTCGCAACGTTCTGACCCTGTGCCCCCACTGGACATGTGTGAAAAAGAGCTCCAATATAGCTCATTGGATTCCTCCTCCCCAGCGTAAATACAACATTCTGATTCTGCGAACGCAGCCGCCGACGCACAATCCCTGCAGCATTGACGGCTTCGCTCGCGGCGGCGGCGACTCACGGCGACGATCTCGCTCTTGGGGATGTTAGGAGCGATGTTCCTCATGAAGAGCGAGCAGGTCCTGTGGAGGGCGCGCGGTTTGGCGGGGACGCCATCCTCTCCCTTCCTAAGCGACTCCTTCTCCAGGCCGTCCTCGCCCGCCTGCTTCTCTGTTGGGCGCGGGAGACGGGCGGAGGCTTTTGACGCCGGTCGTGTTGGATTGAGCCATCGCTATCGAGAGTTTTGGGGCTTGTCACGACGCTTTTATTCCCTGATGTGAAAGGTCTGTTACGAACCATACGTGCACCGAACGGTACGTACAAGAATTTATTCAAAACACTTGATTGGTGAACGTAAGGGTTCTTCAACCATATTTAACCACCCAGGCATATCTGACCTTACCGGGTTTGTTAATTTCATTGTTCTGCATAACTGATAATCACATGAAATAAGAAATTGACCCAACCCTGGACTGATCAGCATTGTAAATTAAGGTTAAAATTAACTCGGGGAGGCCCAGGACCGGTTCAGATAATCATCAATGGTGTTGGCCGTGAGCAGCAATCAAACTCGGGTGGTCGGGCACGTAGTACAGTACGCCAACCACTACACTACCGCTCCTACAAACATGACAATCCTCTACGTCTCACACACACACACTCGAGACTTTTCAAGCCTGATCAAGGATAGCTGCGTTCTAGGATCTCACCACCGTCTCCCGGTCCCTTTTTTCCATCCAGGTCCGATTCGGAGCCCGAAACGTTCCCTGCATCACGGCCCGGGCTCGCCGCAGAGCCTCCTCGCTTGCGCTTCCTGCTTCCCTGCAGGTGCCAAAGCAACGTTGGAGCAGAGGGGGAAGAGGAAAGGTACGGGGAATGACGACACAAATCAACATTGCAGCTCAAGTGGATGAAGCCTTTTTCTTCCACTGCCATTAGTTTATCGCTGCCACTCTGTTGTCCGTGCTGGTGAAATTTGTGCATCAGAGAAGAAACCTGTAGAAGCGACATCTGTGTGAACGAGCGCTTCACAGCTCATTAGATTCCTCCAGTATAAATACATATTTTGATTCGGATTACAGCAAATGTAAATGCAACGGAAGTTACAGCAGACAGTATCGTATGAAGCCAGCAGATCTCTATAGACACGTGCCAGTGTTGCGGTCCCAATTCCAGGGTCTACCGTCATCTTCTTTCCCTGCTCTTTAAACCATCACAATTCCAGTCAGTTCTGTCAACCATCACTGACATCATCATGGGACCTCCTTTGCCAGTAGCAAATTATGAGAATAGGTTTTCCCCTTTTTTCTGGCAACAAAATAGGTGTTGAGATGTTAAAACACCAAACTGAAACCTTTTCCAAGAAATCATGTTTTTTGTTCATGTTTTTGTTTTTTGTTTTTTGTTTGTTGCGGTTGCACCCGATTCAAGAGCCGAATGGCTCACAGGGCTATACCTAATAAATGAACTTGAAAACTTGAAACTTGATGTCTGCATTAACCACAATACTTGTGGTCAAAATACAAACGCCTTTTGGCGTCCTCTGGTCTAACACCGTTTGGGACTAGGCTCAAAAGAAAGCTGTCTCTGGTATGGACCAATCCAGTTTCAAAGACAATGCATATATTATCAGAGAACGTTTTTTGTTTGCATTCTGACCACAAGCATTGTGGTTAATGCAGACATCATTCCTTGTAAAAGGTTTCAGTTTGGTGTTTTAACATCTCAACACACCTGTTTTGTTGCCAGAAAAAAGGGGAAAACCTATTATCATCATTGACATCCATTTCACAACCGGCACTTTCCCGATGCGATTAAACCAAAGGTTGAGACCAGAGAATGAACCAACCTTTCCGGAGTCTGCCCCTTCCTTGCTGGACTCCGACATCTTCTTGTCTACCTCGGACAGCTTGCGCAAGTCCTTGCCATCGTTCTCCACTTTCCCATCGTCCTCAGGCTGGTCCACAGTTTGCAGGTCCAGGTCAGTGCCACCCTCCATTTTTATCACCGCTGCCCCCGAATAGAAATGAAGGGATTACATGTTGTTATTTTTACAACTGTCCTCCATTTTTTGCAATCGGCATCATAAGAATACGTTTACAGAATCAGAATATTTATTTATATCGGAGGAATCCGATGAGCTATGAAGCTCTTTTTCACAGATGTCCAATAGGTTTACATTTGTTACTCCAAGTTAAGAGAATGTGGGGTTTCTACGCTATACATCAGGGGGATGAGGAACGGACACAGCTTGCGTCGAGTTGCAACAACCTGAAACCCAACTGTGCTCCAATACCACCATGAAATTAGTTTTGCACGAGCCAATCGGAGACTGCCCAATTACTCAGACTCAGAATATTTATTGATATTAGTGGAATCCGATGAGCAATAAAGCTTTTTTTCACAGATTTCCAGTAGTGTTATTATTCAACTCCTCTCTTCCGGCCCGCAGGCTTCCAACGTCGATCGCCCCCGGCCTGCAATTACCTGCGTCAAGGACGCGTATGATCTGCTCTGATTTGTCTATGTCCAGGGAGATGCTGTTGAACCAGCCGCCCTCCAGCAGGAAAGTGAACGCCTTGAGCCGGTGCTGCAGGGCACTGGCCGCTTCGTGCTTGCGCTTGGCGGACTCCTCGGGGTGGTATTTCACGCGGAACCTGGGGAAAACGGCGAAAGCGACATCAGTCTCGCGCCGCGACGAACCAGCGCCGCCAAATTCCTGATCCAGAAAAGGGAAGAAGCACATTTTATTTTACAGCCGAGAAAAAATGAACACGACACAGTTATTATCCATAATGTCTCTTACGAATGATGTAATAAACGATCACTTTTTTAGCGTAGTCGTTAAGTACTGAAGCTCAAAACTGAAGCGCAAAAAATATGAATGTTGCTTACATTTAAAAACGCCAGCAAGTTAAGTAAGATTTCAAATTATTTCTTAAAAATCATACTTAAATTTTTTGCAATCTCAGGTAAGCGTAAAACACATTTGCAAATCAACAATTGGAAATTCAACTGGGTAGAAACAAAAGCACATTCAGCGAATATTGTTACGGCACATTTCACATATCTATATTGATTTACTTAGGCCATTAGTAGAAAAAAAATGTAAACAAAAACTAAAAACAGAAACGAAATTTACAGGACGTGTTACCTTTTTTCCTGCAATATTTGGTAAAATGGGCATTATATTTGTTAACAGTAACTTCCACACATCACTTTACAACTTTTGGGGCTTCCAAAGCAAATCTTCACGAACAGGGCGAGGCTGAGCCAATCACGTTGCTTCTTTCTCAGAGCGGTGCAACACGAGCGAGCACCAACCAGTGACATTTTCGGTCCCTAAGCCTATCTCCCTAAAACCACTGTAACCAATCTAGCCACTGCATTGTGCGCAGTGCCACTATCTAAACTACGAGTCCGTTCAGGGTGTCTCTTCCTTTCCACCTTGTTCTTTTGGAGGGAGGAAAGTTGTGTTAGTGTGAACAATGTCGGCAACACAAGAAAAGGGTGCATAAAACACAAGAGCACAACATCATGTACCAAAAAATCAACATTCAAAATTCACATCTCTACGTAAATGCACACTTAACCCGGTGGCAATGCCACGATGGAACATTAGAGCATAAGTGCTAAAATATATATTTTTACGTAACGTAGAAGTAACAATGCCAACGATTCATCGATAACTATCAACTTTAAAGCTCGTATTCCATGCAAAAGATCCTGTATCTGTGAAAAGATTATTTTCTATGTGTATACCTTGTACGTAATTGGGTTCTCATGATCTCTGCAGCCACTAGTTGTCACAATGTCATAATTTATTTTCCAATATAATCACGGGGATGAATGCCGCACTACAAATAACGATGGCACCAAGACAAAACTACTCTGGGCAGTTGAATCTTACAAATTAATTACTGCAATATTGCCCAGCACGTCAAGTGATGGTATAATTGCTCTTGTAAAATAGTTATATAAACTTTAACCTTGAATACAACTATGAACAAGTGGTCAGTTTGCATTGAAGCACATTAAAGCATGTACAATCTTTTATCACAATGCATTATAATATCACGCTGTAAGTTGCAATGTTCACTAAAAAACACAACTCAGATGGTGGAGACATGAATATCACAGCACAGCACAAACCACAGCACGTAACTTGAATCTGTTCTTTTTGACAAAAACATTGTTCAAACAACAACGGTGAAACAAAATGAAATGAATTGATGTTTCCATCGTTCACGCTTCCCAACTACAGATAAAAGCATAAATGCATTAGCTGTGTATCCGCCCATCCGTAATGAGGGAGCATGATAACTATGACACAAAAGTGTACGTAACTTTAGCAGAAGTGTGTTGCCCATTAGGAACTGAGCCTATTGAAAAGCTGGCCAATGTGATCAAAAGCCATGCACAACATTTAGGAGACAAAACCAGAGCAAAAATAATCAAATGCAAGTAAGCTGGCCTGACCACTAACGCTTGCCTTCTGCACTGTCAATACATCCGAGCACAAATGGACGTTAAAAAGCGTTACATAATGCGCGTTGGACATGATTATTTCTTAACTTTTCAAGTCAGTATTTGAGAGCCAGTGCCGCTGAGTAAGTTTTAAAGTGTCAAAACCGCGTGCCAAAACCGGCCAATGAGCCGCTTACCATTCCTCGTCCTTGTGCGCCATGAAGAACTCGTGCAGCTGCTGGCGGCGGAACTCGATCTTGTAGTTGTTGTAGCGACGCACTGCCTCTGTCTCGTCCACCGACTCGGCTATGGACAGCAGGAACTCCTTGAAGGTCTTCATGATGGGGTAGGCCGGCGGGGCCTCCACCTCGGGCACGGCGCCCACCCTGTGCGTGAGACACCGCAGGAATTTGATTAATTTTTTTAAAGATCCACAAAAACCTCAATTAATCTAAGTGCTCTGTTTTCAGAGGTTCCTGGCACGTTTAGCCGATTCTGAAAATGAGCGGGTTTCCAACTCACTTTTTGCATGAACATGTCCCCAAGCTGTCGCCACCTCACGTGATGGTGCGGTGTTTAATATGCCAACTCGCACGTGCACATGAACCGATTTATCGCTCCATATCCACGGTGAACGTCTTCTTGGACACGTTTAATTTATTGACTGCCACTCCAGTTTTATTTTTTGGCCACTGACCATCATCCGTTCTAGTGACGTGTCCTGCCCAATCCGGCTTAACAGTTTGAATTATTTTAGCAACCTGCAAATGGTCTCTGAACTCACGTGTTCCTCTTTCCGTATCTCAATAATTGCCAGAATGCATCTCCTCCATGCTTCTTGGTGTACATTTTAGATTGTGTTCCATTTTATTTGTCCGTGTCCACGTTTCCAATTCATGTTCGAGCAGGTAAAACGCGCCGACTAAAAATTCACCTACATTACACAATGGTAAGCTGCTTTCATGACCCATTTTGCACTTTCCAAAAGCAACCCAAGGCCGCTCTCGCTTGTCTCATTATCGGGTTAAAATTAAGCAAATTGTAATTAATACAGTATTTTAAAACGGATGGCCTTTTAATATGTACACTTTCATCCATCAATTTTCAATGCAAATGTTATGAAAATGTGTTTTTACAGCTACAAATAATAAAACGAAGAATGCGTGGTGACTTATTTAACCCTGTGATGACACCAGCACACAAAGAGAACAGAGTTTTTAGCAACAGCTGCACTGCGAAGGTTTGGCTGCCTTCCAGTTTTCCATGAGAGCGCCTCTGAATTTAGTGTATTGATGACAAAGGACCCGAGGAGCGTCATGAGTCACTCCGATTCCCAAACACCTAATACATTTTTGCCACGGTGTTGAAGTCTATCATCACTACACGTTTGAAAAGCACTCAACTTTGTGACGCAAGTTACGCCAAGTTGTAGCGAGGAATCACGCCACATTCTTTTTTCATGACAAGTGAAATAGCTTCTCTTATGTCATTAACAACCAGAATTAATTAACATTTTCAGACAAGGGCAATACAAGAGAGACCAAAAAAAGCACAAAAAAGAACGTTGTTTCATGCAAGTAAAGAACCAAAATGTACTACAGTTAATCACAAAAGCATTTATAATTTTTCCACGAACACTCTGTCCCGACTGCCAATGCGACGCTGTGAATGAGGTTGTACGTGCCCCATTACCGGTTTGGGATGGGGTTGTGCGGCTGCGGCATCATGTGCGCTTCGGGTGGGCACCAGGGGGGCGGGGGTCCATAGTTGGGGCCCCCTCCGTAGGGCATGTCATACCCACCACGGAACACCTCCCCGTGGTCGTCCCTAGTCAAGGGGAGAAAGGGGGGGGGGGTACCGTCAAGATTTTTGCCCGACCAACACTCGGCTAAGGTCACAATGCGAAACTTCCCATGCAGCTCTGCTTACAGCAAACACTGCGAGGACAATCGACGCGTCAGGAGTTGGATGTCGTGTGCTTAATTCAGCAACGTAAATATGCCCATCTGTCAACTGGTAGACACACAACTTGGACAACCAACAGGCACTCTACTTAGCATTTATGTGACCCGAAGTTGAACAGAAGACAAAATGAAACGTCCAAGATAGGGCCCAATGCATTTTTTTTTTACTTTCATTTGTTTTCCTTTCTGCAATTATTCATTATAAGACAATTCAATCAAATAATTAAAGGTACGGTACAGTCTACTACGATTATGGACACCAATTTAATTTCCTATAATAATCATTTACAGCCTTTCATCAATCCACTGCTGGATGAAGGTCTCCCCCACACAGCGTCAGTCATGGAAATTGTGAGAAAGTACTTCACGACGCTGGACATTGTGCAGGTTGGTGAAGGAGGCGCCCAGAATGCCATTGATGATTATAATCGCTGCGGTTTGAAATCGAAAGGTCAGACTGAAAAAGTCACGGGACAACACCAACGCACATTGGAGAGAACGCTTTGTCCCTCTCTCTCTCGTCTACACGCACCAGTCTCTGCGCATGCGTTTCTGTGGGGGGCTGATTTCCCTGCGCGTCGGAGTGAATCGTTCCCTCCGCCCGCGGTCGTAGTCTCTGTAGTCTCCTCGCCGGCTGCGATCGCGACCTCGATCCCATTCCCTGCAAGGCAAGACACATCGCTTTTGTTTTTACCTCTTTTTACACACCGTACAACCGTGCCCAGCCAGCCTGGCACGGCTCAGGTGGAGCCAGATTGTTTTTCAACTGAAAACACAGAGCGCCATGCCACTGAAATCATACGTATCGAACGAGTCATATTCATGTCAAATGCAAGGATGTGTAATTCACCCCACCCGTGGCATTGCTTTGCCATGAACCAAATTCAGATGTCTTGTGAGGCCAAGGAATCGCGGTTTGCTTCTAATTCGCATTGGCAAACAGCCGGTGAAAAACGACGTGTACCGAGAGGACCCCACGCTGGCACTCCTGAAAATGAATCTTGAAGATTCACATACACTTAGCTCTAGATCATCTGTGGATGGACTATCTGGGTTTAAGATAAACCGTGCTTGCAAAACAATATATAAATTCACGCTTGCACTGTTTTAAATCATTATAGCCGATCCTCACTCATCGAGGTTCAATGAGTTGGTTCACATGCGACTGCAACCAAAAACAGATGACATTTTTCGTCTACGCTCCCGTCCCTACATTTTCACACTATAAGCCACTTTGTGTAGCTATCATTTTTGGCCAAGTCGCTTCTGAAAAATAACTAATAGCTCAGTGGGATTTATCTGGCAAGATAAAAAATAGCATTTTCCTAAAATAAAAATTGCATAGTTTTAGTATTTTTTTGTGTGATATGCTTACCTTTTCTATACTTTTCTCCAAGATGAAATAAATATTCGATGATCCCACACAGGTAGGCAAATATATTTTAAATCGTAATTTACACGTTTTCCTAAATCTGTGCGTTTAACTTTATTCCAAACTCTAACGGCACATGCCACCAGCTGGCTCTAAGGAGACGGCCGTGCGTACCTCTCGTTCCAGTCGTCTCCTCCTCGCCGCCGGTCGTCGCGCTCTCGCGAGCGGTCGTAGTCACTGCGCTCGCGTCGGAACTTATCCCTGCGCCGCCGGTCGTACTCGTCATCGCTGTCCCCCATGGTAGGCGGCCGGTATCAGGCACACACACCGCAGTCTGCAAGAGTGTGGGGGGGGGGGGGAAGGATTTTGCAGCACGTGTTCAGATTGGGCAAACAACCAGGCTACATTTGCATCCTCTGCTTCACGGTGAGACAATGATAAGATAAGAACATTTTAAAAAAACACTGCTCTGGCCAATTTTTATACAGATTCTAGAATTCTGACCAATGACACTTGCACTCCAATCTCATCCATTGCAACTTGGATGAACAATTAATTTGCAGTATTAAAATCAATCAATGGCATCCTTCAGTCAACAGCAGACAATGGAAATTTCAGCTTAGAATTTCCAAATAACATGAAAGACTTGACTTAGTTTGAATAAAATTTCCCATGATGGCTAATCTGTTTCCAAGAGTGCCTTTTACAACCATCACTGGAAATGCAAATCAAACTTAGCCACGTCGTTAACATTAAGAGAAAATGCAAAGCTGAAAATTCCATTGCGTTTGCTTATACACACACACATATAAATCATGTAAACGACAACAAACAACACAGAATTCCACCTCCAGAAAAATGTCATGGGAGGCATGCACACCCACCAATCTGCAACATGAACCAACGTGTGTGCATATAACAGCAGCACGCACATACATTATGAAACCCGTCAAAACCAGCAGAACGTAACCTTTCACAATCCACAATCTAGCAACAATGTGTTCTGAACACAGCTTGCCTCACCCTCACTCAAGCCCCTCGTGAAACAAATCTAATCCCAGTACACTCTGTCCTTATGACTGTACTGACATTCAACCACATCCAAGCAGAATCATATAAATCTAACACCAATGTCTTGTACTAAAAATGTTTTATTTCCGACACCTATACTTTGCAATGTGTGGCTCTATACACAAGCAAACACATGCATCCTTATTATTGGTTCTTTCGGTAAAGTCACGTAGAAGGGAAATAATAAAATAATAAAAATACATAACAATAAAAACCAATAACAATTGTCACGACGTTTCGACTGCAACACAAGCAAGCAACCATCATCAGGTGTGAAATCCACAGGCATCCTTATTTAGGGTTCAAATTGAATATAGATAAAGTGCTGTAAAGATGCATATGAAATACAATCTTATATTGTAGATACAGTATGTAATAAAGCTGCCTGTTCCAGGCTGTGTAATACAAATGTCAAGCTTCATTAATAACTACACCAATCGTTAAAATCAAACTGTGGTGGAGAAGAATAGGTCCTGATACAACATGCCATTGATGTATGAACTTCTTTTGTACAGTACGTGGCCAACCGCGCTCATCGGATGTGCGGGGTAAGGACACTTGCCAGAAATCAAATATTAATTTACATTTATAGGGCAAAATTCACCCCATGATCTCAGTGCTCCATGCACAAACTTATGTATGTTTCCGTGTATTATGCATTAAGTTCATTTAATAAATGCATTATAAAAATATATGTATATCGTGTTTATACTGAGTGTCTGTTGCTGCTGTGTCCAATACAGCGCTTTGAGATCCTTGATAATAAGCGATACATAAATTGAATTGTTATTAAAGTTAGGAAATATAAATACTAAAAACGTCAGAGTCCACTGTTCATACATGGGAATGGTATGCCAGGCAGAGGTCGCAACCGGGTACCCGATACCCGTACCTTACCCGATACCCGGCTACCCGTACCCGGCCGGGTACGGGTAGGCCGTGAGTCAATGGTGAGTGGCCGTTTGTCACCAATTTCAGGTAGGGTACGGGTAGGGAACGGCTACCCGTACCCGGCCGGGTGCGGGTACGGGTACCCATTTGCGACACTGGTGCGGCCGGGTACGGGTAAGGAATCAAAACCCGTTTGTGACCTCTGATGCCAGGCGAAACAGGTCTTGAGAAGAACTGAACAGAGCGAGTGAGCTCGTCTGGTCTAACCGCTGTACTGCAACACCGCTTTCGCAGGTGACTGGCAGTCACACACCGTGCACACAAAGCCGCACCATTCTCCCGCCCCATTAAAAAATCGCCGCCGCGGTATTTCCACCGCCCACTAACCCCCAATCTCTTCTTGGTTCTTTCGGTAAAGTCACGTAGAAGGGAAGTAATAAAATAATAAAAATAAAACATAATAAAATTATTCTCACGACGTTTCGGCCACAACGCAAGCAGCCGTCCTCAGGTGAAAACCAGGTCCGTTCACCTGAGGACGGCTGCTTGCGTTGTGGCCGAAACGTCATGAGAATTATATTTTATTATGTTTTATTTTTACTATTTTATTACTTCCCTTCTACGTGACTTTACCGAAAGAACCAAGAAGATGAATCCCTGCAGTCACGAAAGCTTTAAATCGAAACCCCCAACCTGTTAAGATCTCATTGACCTCCACGAATTTTACATCATTCTGATCCCAGCCCTCAAAGCTGCCCCGAGAGAGTCACGTAGGTAAAAATAAATAAATTAAATCACGACGTTTCGGAGGCAACACAAGCTTCCGTCTTCAGGTGTAACCGTCACTGCAAAATTACTGCATCAGTAATTACTCTCGTGATTTAATTCATTTTAATTTTTTACCTACGTGACTTTACCGAAAAAAAAACAAAAGAGTATGAATCCTTGCAGTCACGAAAACTTCAAATCTACAATTAATGCCCCGAGAGAGAGAGCTTTGTGAACAATTGGGGCGGGGGAAACGTCCAATCGGATGTGAAGACGGATGCGCACGTGACGCAGAAGGCCACGCGGCTTCCCGCACCTGACAAGACAATGACGGTAAACCCCGATGCCGCATGACTTGATTTCCTGACGCATGGCACTTCAAAAAGCCTTCCGATTGCTTTACTGATACATAATGCATTGTTATTGAGTGACCAGCAAGGATGGACTGCGTAATATAGTGTCTGTCAAGTAAACTGGTGGCTCGTACCAGGCCCCTACCCCCATCCATAATTAATCAATTAACCGGCTAGACCAATTATTTTTCAGCATACGCACTAATTAATCAATGCTTGCGCTTGACTGGCAAGAGACAACTCGGTCACCCAAGTTGCCATAGTCGATCATTGCTCGTCCAATGCAGGCAATAATCGCCTTGAAATTGCCTGAATGCACACCCCACCACTACATATATACTCCACATATGTACACACTCCACTGCCATGTACTCTACATGTACACACACCACTGCCATATATACTCCATATGTCCGCACACCCACAACCCACAGACATTACATTCGCCACAGATATCCTCACATCCACCAACATAACGCACAACCTTGCCACTGCAGTACTTACGTATACGATTGTTTTTTTTAGCAGTACAGTACTTACAGAAACATACGTGCACTATTCACAACACATCTAACCCACGCGCGCCGTACTGTACATCTCATTCATACACATCCAGACGTCGAAATCGCTGCAAGAGTTTCGAATGGTCATTTCGTTCTATGACAAAACGACCAAAGGCACAACTCGAATTGGGGGGGAACGAATAGAAAACTACACACAATGCAAGCAAACCTGCTAGCACAATCCCCCATGTAGGTTATGACAACGTCGCTTACACACACGTATGGCCATGCACATTGTCAATCCACTGCTGGATGAGCGCCTGACGCTTCATTTAACCATACCACGCTAGTAAGCGTGGTCGAAGGCGGGAGCATAGAAGTACAGTGGAACAATGAATTCCGCTGTTGCACTGGGTGGACAAAGGGTACGAGTGTAAGCGAGTGAGATGATGTAAAGAGTTTAGTGTGTAACCACACACATAGGCCTGGAACTAGCAAAACGCCGAAACCGCGCTTTCAGCATCTCACAATCACCACGTCTAAGCTGCAGTAATTCATCGTCAGCAGCAGTAACAACGCACAGACACGAACATTAAGCGGCGTTACAAATTACCGTGCCGATTCGCACGGGTTGCATGTTGTTGTTTATTTTTAAACGTTATAAAGAGAAAATGTGACAAAATATTGGGGCCTTCGCGTTTAGGCCCGCCCAGGAAAATGATGGTATTAAACAAAAACGTCAACAGATTATTTAAACAAATCTGAATGATCGCATGTTAAAACACGGACGATGCGTGTGAAGTGCCGTGTTTTTTTGTATATATCAAGGTGTTTAATTCGTAACGATAATAATCGGCTAATTGTCACCTTCGCCTCTCTTGCTCCACTAACCTGAGCAGCGAGGCCCAACGCGTAAGGAGAATCCCTGAGCAGATGTCCCGTGCGTGATGACGTCACGCCATTGGTGACGTTCCGTGCGCGATGACGTCACGGGGCAGATTTCATTGCGTGATGACGTCGTTTCGGCGAACCGTGGGTTAGATACGCGGTGACGTCATCGCGCAAGCACCCCCCCGCCCCCTACATCCTTCTACGTGATGACGCGTGCGGCGACGCCCAACGCGTTAAGGAGAATCTCTGAGCAGACGGTCTGTGCGTGATGACGTCACGCCATCGATGTTAGCGCGTGATGACGTAGCGAGGCATCGCGTGGTTTTCACGAACTGCAGTTTTAATACGCGATGACGTAATCACGCAAGCATTCCCTCCACCCAAACATCCTCTACGTGATGACGATTCTACGTGATGACGTCACGCAGAAAATTGTCCCTGCAACACCACACGTTGCGCTCTGAAGAAGGGTCATTGTCCGAAACGTCGTCTCTTTGATATATTTTTCCTTTTAAGGCAGCTTTGCTGACGAATTCGTTGTTTTTTGTGTAGCTTATGCATGTGCCACCACTGCGAACGCTGTATCACGACATATATAATTAACCTAAATTTTTTTGTGTAATTGTAACATGTTGCCATCGTGAAATAAACTGCTTTGAAATTGGTTCCATCTTTTTGAAACACCCTGTTTTATTCTACACGGTGTCCCCCATGAGGCTGGAATCACAGTAAAAAATATTTTAGAAAGGCAATAATAACACTTTTATTCACAGAACTTGCTCAACGTGTCACACCATTGTGCCTGATCACAACTCCAGACGAAATACCCAGTACGTAAGCACAGGTAAATGGTATCAGGGCTAGTTACACGCATTGATAACGTGCTGCTGCAAACGTTCAACACTGAGTTGATCAGCGCCTTCAAGTGACCCCAGAGAACAGTGGTTGGTGTGAGATCCGGGCTTCTCACTGGCCATTCAACAGGCCATGCAGAAACTAAAAAAATATATGAATTAGTTATATTTTTTTCGATGAATCAAGACCCTGTATAATGGACAGATAATTTTACTGCCGTAAATTTTCACGTGATAATCCACTTCGTTGAGCTATCATTTGTGGCCAGGTCGGTTCTGAAAAATAAGATAATACTGTACTGTAGCTTTATATGGTAAGATTAAACTAATTTTGTTGAGCTTTACATAAAAAAGTGACTTGTTTACCTTTCTTATACTTGCACTCTTATCGTGTTTTGTATTATTGTTCTAACCTTCTGACCCTGCCCCTACTGGACATCTATCTATATATATAAAATATTTCTACAGCTAATCGGATTCCTCCAGTATAAATAAATATTCTGATAATTTGTTGAAAAAGTACGGACCAGTTAGTCTGTTATCGCATATAAATAGATTTATCAGGAGATATATGAGAACAGTAAGGGAACATATAGAGGGCAAACCAATTACACGAGCAACCCAGGTTTTAAAAAGGTTGCTCTACCTTCGACCTTGTTAATACTGTATTATCATCTATCACTGCCAGGCGTCTTTTCTCCGTGGCAGCAACCGTCCCTCTGAAAATCCACAAGCATAAAATCTACGGCAGCGTTCTTCATTGCAAGGCCCTGCAGGCCACTGGCAGCCGCTGGTGGCCTTTAGTGCGGCCCTTGACGTTCGGCCCCCGACCAAACACAAATGGTGAAAACACAACCCCATCATCATCATCGTGCTGCTGTCAAACCCCAATGGTTTCAAATGTGTGGCGGCCCTCACACCATAGGTCGCAACAGTCAAAGGGGGCATTAGGAGATGCTCGGACATTAGATTGGAAGAGCAAAGGGTATAAACAAACTGGAGAAAATATCAACCATCTCAGATGACTTATCAAGGTCACCACCCCCTTTTAGCCGGCGATGAAATGTTCAGTACACAGTCCGCATGGGGCAGGCGGCCAAAAGGCTTTTTGCTGCCCGCTTTTTTTTATCATCTCGGTAGGGATAGAAATACTTGCAGGTGTTCGCATTGCTGTCGAGCCATCGGAAGGGTCCCTGATAGCCGCCGGCTATTTATACTTGCATGGAGCAATACAGGACACACGCGCCCATACTTAATGTGCCCATTGTCCTCTGTGTGCGCACACGCCACACAGCCGGGTCATTCGCCAGAGAAAGAGAGAGAAGACGCACACGATGGAAGTGACCGGTAAGAAGTTGGCGAATTCTAGACTAACGTTCTGGTCGTGTGCGTTTGAATAATATTCCCAGGAAGGTAAGGGAAGCTGCGGAGTAATGTAATGTCCTCTATTTAGTATCAACCCAGATGATGAAATACAGTCCCAGTCAAGATACGTGATACATTAACATCAATTGCAAGGGTGACCTAGAGTTACATTAAGTTGGTTAGGATACAGTGGAATATGCACTTATTATTATTTAAGAACCATTGTGGAATGTAAGAATATTTTAAAAAAACTTATTATGTAACAATAATGAAAGAGGCGAGGCACGATGGCATGAATGGACAGAGGTTTGAGAAATTGTTACTGATTGCAAGATGCGAGTAAAACCGAAAGAAAATACGCATAGACAGTGATACGATCGGTGGTGTCACACGGTGTAGAGACGTGGGCACGAAGACATAAGGAGGCTTCAAAGGACAGCGATGAGAATGCTGAGATGGATGTTGGGACCTGGGAATATCTCTAAGGGAAAGAAGTTGGTAGAATGAAGAAAGCAGGGCATTAGCGGAGGTCGCTAATATTCTTGGGATCAAGGAAATGTTGTGGACAAAGTTGAGAAGAGACCAGAGGATGCAAGTAGCAGGGCTATGGAGATTAGAAACCCATAGACGACACAGAGAACCGTAGATTCACACAGAGACCCATAGACTCAGACATATAACCATATAACTCACTGATGCATGGCATGAGGAATAGATAGAGACTGAGGGTGAGATGGAAGGATGTGGTGGAATGAGATGAGAGAGCAGTGGATGTGAGTAGAGAAAAAGGCAGCAGTATATTTTATTATGTATTTTTATTATTTAATTATTTCCCTTCTACGTGACTTTACCGAAAGAACCAAGAAGATGAATCCCTGCAGTCACGAAAGCTTTAAATCGAAAAGTATAAAAGCTTATGGAGAAATCAGAGCAGGCAAACATTGGACTTTCTGGCTTTTAAGGGTTCTAAATACATTACCACTGTTCTTCACAACAGCTAATTTGTACATGTTTATGATCTAACGTGGTCTCAGTGGGTTTTTAAAATAATAATAATAATTTACAGCCCTTTGTCAATTCACTTGTCATGCTGTGTCATTGACCATGCCTGACCACGCTGCTCAGTGAGGGATGGTGAAAGGAGGGCGGCGGCGTGGCAGGGCAAGATCGGTTCAGAAATCGCCAATGATTGTTTATTTTTTATCTCGGTAGGTACATAATACATTCAGGTATTTAAATTGTTGCCAAGCCATAGCAGGGTCCCTGATAGCCTCCGATTGTCGCGGTTGGCTACGTACGGTGCGAAAGAAGTTCAACATACGTATAAACATTGTTCGCCGTGATCAGGAATTCAACGCAGGTTGGTGGGTTCATAGCGCAGTGCGCTAGCCACTTACTGCTTCACCCTAAACCTGACTCTAACCTACCTGGTTCGTAATAGTTTTCTGTGTCAATGAATTAATACTCTGTTTTCTGTCCTGCTCCTACTGGACATGTGTGAAAAAGAGCTTTATAACTCATCATATTCCTCCTGTATAAATAAAGATTCAGATTCCGAATACTCAGGACCAGTTTAAAGTATAACATTTATACAGTATTCGTAGGCACCATGGTTCATTAATGTCGACGGCAAATTTTCTAGAACGCGGTTTTGCCATCGCCAGCGCACGTCTTACTGCATCAACTTGACAAGTCACCCCATTGAGGGTGGCACAATTTCAAAACACCGCTGCCTGACAGCTGACGGTTGAATCAAATGCGCTTCTGAAAAAAGATTCCACACTTAAGGACGTGAGAGTGTTAGGAACACTCAGTGCTGCATAACCTTGCCACCTATTTATGGCGATCACGAACAGTTGTGTTTGACCGCTATCCGAACTCGCACGTTGCAGTGGTACAAGCACTGGTACATAAATGTACACTCCAGGATTGCAACGGGATGACTTATCGTAGCTACAATCGATTTGTTAAGAGGACGCGACGATATGAGCTATGATAATCACGATATTACAATAGTATGCTGTTATGACGGGCTGTTCTCATCATTTACAGATTTGATTCAGATTATTTAGCAAAACGGGCCGTGCAATTATAATGAATCACTATCGTACAATATCTCACAGTATCGCCATGTCGCAGAAAACCGAGCATAAACAACTTACGCACACCGTAAGAACTGAAAAGTAAAATAAAAAAATATACATGGTATTTGATCAGATGCAACAACGTTATCTCAAATGCTTAAAAAAATGATTGGGGGGTGGCCAAGTGGATTGCACTGAGTTGGCACTGCTGAATGATAATTCTGGGTTCATCCACACATGAATAAACTGGGTTCTCTATTTGACTGACACACGATGAATAGTTATTCATCTCTGTCAGGGATATAAAAAGCGGGCTCCCAGTGTGGTTAAAGAGGGCCATTGAAGTGACTTCAGAAGCAGTTTCGAGACATCATCTTACACTAATTCTAGATTTGAAGCTTTCGTGACTGCAATGATTCATATTCTTAGGTTTTTTCGGTAAAGTCACGTAGGTAAAAACATTAAAAAGTAAAATAAAATAAAAATCACGACGTTTCGGAGGCAACACAAGCTTCCGTCTTCGTGGCTGTGACGGTACCACCTGAAGACGGCAGCTTGTGTTGCCTCCGAAACGTCGTGATTTTTATTTTACTTTTTAATGTTTTTACCTACGTGACTTTACCGAAAAAAATCTAAGAATATGAATCATCTTACACTGTCGACAAAAACAATTAGTAAAGCCGCACAATCCTTATGCAATATTCTAACACGTGGACAATCGTCGAGGGGGTGGGTGGGGTGGTGATTGCTATGTGCAATCCCAAATGAGAATGTAAGATGTGTTTATGTATGT